TCACCCGACATAACAGTTACAAAGGAAGCACATTCAGGGCCAAGGAATTCATAAAGAGTACACCATGCCCCAAACTGGGAGCCAGCGAGGGCTAGAGAGGGGTTTGGGCATCTTGGCTACGGCCTAAACGTCTTTGAAATCATCGCTGCAGTCCTTCAAAATGCTTATACCCTTACCGTCAAACCGCCCCACCGCCACAGGGCTTCAGGAGGTGGCGCCAGCGCTGGAAGAGTGATTTCTGCAAGCTGCACTTCCTCGTTCACTTCACCGCCCTGACTGCGCTTGCTGCACTGCTGCGCTGTATCTCCGTGCTTACATCGTGCATCCCTTTCTGACCGAGCCGGCATGCCAGGGTGCGAGCCATCGCAGTGACGCAGTTGTGGCGACATGTTCCCGGATTCTGCTTGGCTCTTCTTGCTGCTCCCAAACGCGGCAGTGCCAAGCGAACTTGCTGTGTCAGCTCGCTCTGAGCCGTGGCATGGAAGGCTAGCCTGAACAAACTCTTGTGCATTTTGAATGGGAACTCTGGGCCAGGAAACCTGAAAATCGTTGACAGGGCTAGTAATTCTCAGTCTAGGCCATTGTTACAAGTGAGCTTGCAGTTACCATGATCCACCCTAGCTAGGAATGTCTTCCTCTAGGCCCCTTGTAGAAGCTACTAAACAAGTCCACTCAACCTCCGAGCAGAGCGAGGGAATCGTGGAAGCCTTTTTAGCGGCTCCTTTATAAGCTCTTCCTGCCCCAGGCACCCAAAAAAACTAAGCCTGCGCTGTGAGGCCATAGTTGGGGTTATAGCTTCTCTGAAGTGGAGTTGCTCTCCTTATATGCTTAGCATGACCTCTCTACTACTGCCCCTGAGCCCCCCATCTACGCCCTGCACCCTTTTTGGGAGCCTTGCTGGCCATCCCTAAACCCTAAACCCTAAACCCTAAGCCTAAACCCTAAACCCTAAACCCTAAACCCTAAACCCTAAACCCTAAACCCTAAACCCTAAACCCTAAACCCTAAACCCTAAACCCTAAACCCTAAACCCTAAACCCTAAACCCTAAACCCTAAACCCTAAACCCTAAACCCTAAACCCTAAACCCTAAACCCTAAACCCTAAACCCTAAACCCTAAACCCTAAACCCTAAACCCTAAACCCTAAACCCTAAACCCCAAACCCCAAACCCCAAACCCCAAAACCTAAACCCTAAAACCTAAAACCCCTCAACCCTAAACCCTAAACCCGAAACGTGCTTGAAAGCCGCGGCCCGAGGTCGGCAGGCATGGGTGGAGCCGCCGGCGCGCTGCCCCCGACGGGCGGGAGAGGCCTTGCGCCAAGGGTTTAGGGTTTAGGGTTGAGGGTTGAGGGTTGAGGGTTGAGGGTTTTGGGTTTTGGGTTTTGGGTTTGGGATTCCGTTCAGGGCTCTATAGGGTTGGAGGGACTGGGAGGTTGAGGGGTTGAGGGCTTGGGGTGGTGAAACGTACTGTCGAGCACTTGAGGCTTTAGATAGCTGGTGACAGCAGAATTCGCGTCCATTATTCCCATTCACTTAGAGGACGACCGCGATGAGCACAACGGGACCACGGCGACCACCACGACGACCGGACCACCACGACCAGCAGGAGACCAGCAAAAGACTACAGGTACAAGGAGACCACCAGGAAACCACCAAGAAACCACCAGGAGACCGCCAGGAGATTACCAGGAGACCACCAGGAGACCACCAGCAGACCACCAGGATGCAGGACATCACCAAGAGACCGCCGAGATCACCAGACCCTTCCCCCCCTTGTCCGGCGGGATGCAGATGTTTAGAGACACCATCACCACAATGCAGATGTAGAGCTATCAGGGCAGCAAGACCAAAATGCTTCCCGGCCTTGTTTGCTGGAGTTGGCACGCTTTCACGACGAAAAGGAGGCCAACCAATTGGAATTGTCAAAGGATTCGCCGAAAAAATATGCACCGCGCACCACAGGGCGAGCTGCGGAACCGGTGGGCGCAGCCCGCATCGACCTAAGCCCTTTCCTCTAGCGTATGAGCCCACAGCTTTCCCACACTGTTTGCCGAATACAAACGTCACACAGTTGGATATGCTTAACTATGGTGTGTAGCACTCGGTGTTTTGCATTGTTGGGTGGTGTGATAGATTGCTAGCCATACCGTGATCTACTAGCTCACGCCATAGAAGATCCCTCTACTTGCAGACTTCGGGGACAAAAGAATCTTAAGCATCAATCCGAAATCCTCAGTCCTTCAGCAACCTAAACCCAAAACCGGAGAATTAGGCCCTAAACCTAAAGTCAGAGCCCACCCATTTCCGTTCGACGTAGGCGGCGGCGCCTTGGCCGCTGCGGCGGCAGAGTCGCTGGATATGGCTTATGGCGAGCTTGCTGGAAGGCCCGAAGGATTTTTTGGGCTTTAGGGTCGTCGGATGTTGCGGGTTTATCGGTTTAGGGTTCGTTATGGGGCTTTAGGCTTTAGGGTTGGCGTTCAGGACTTCAGTAGGTTGGGACTTCGGAGTTTAGGGTGTTTAGAGTGTAGGAGTTTAGCAGTTCAGGGTAGGAGTGTTGGGTTTAGGATCTTAGGGGATGATTAAGCTTGAGGGTTGGGGGCCTCGGGGTTTCGAGTGGAGGGCTCAGGGGTTTAAGGCTTCAGGCGATTGCACAAGCCCGGACGGAAGAAGAAGGCTTCAGGGGTTGAGTCGTTGTGGGGCTTTCGGGCCGTTAGCGTTCAGGGTAGGGGTCGTCAGAGCTGCGGGAAAAAGATAAGACGATCTAATATACGAGTTAGACTTAAGGCAACGTGATACAAGCAAAAGACAATGGAAGTGCCATGCTGCTACCGTGTTTAGAGCATGGTGATGTGCGCAGCACCTATGCAAGTATGCATAGGTCTGAATGCATGCCGAACAGTTAGGGTACAGCATATCTTAAGATGTAGACAACAGGTCACCTCGAACCCCACATGCTAAATCCTAATACTAAACCCTTAAGCCCGAAACCTTCAACCCCAAGAAACCTTGGCACCCAAATTTGCAAATCTTCTGCCTCCTAAACGCTTAAAACCCCTAAAGCCCCAAACTCCACAACGATGAGGCCGCCCACAGATTTTCTGTGGGTGGGCCGGATGGGAACAGGGCCGAACTGGCTTCTCTGGCTAACCCACAAGAAGCAAGCGTGAAGAAGAAAAGAAAGGCATGCGTGATGTTAAGTGAGCTTCGCCACACTCTAAAACCCCAAATGGAACATGGGGGCGGCCTGCCGCCTCAGACCTCAGCGTGTGCACGCAGCTGCAAAATACTTTCGCCGGCTATTCCACAGCAAAAGCCGCCTCGAACTCCAAACGCTGAACTGCAAGTCCATCCTCGGAGCCGAAACCCAAAACCCCAAAACCCCCAGACCCCTAATCCCCCTAAACCCCAAACCCCCTCAAATTTCCGAACCGCAAACCCGAAACCCTTAACCCCTAACCCCTAAACCCTGAACCCTTAACCTTAACCCCCAAACCCCAAACCCCTAACCCCTAAACCCTAAACCCTAAACCCTAAACCATAAAACCCTAAACCCTAAACCCTAAACCCTAACCCTAAACCCTAAACCCTAAACCCTAAACCCGAAACCCTAAACCCCGAGGCTGTCGGACGAGCTCCGCACCGCTCCGGCGGAGTCCAAGGAGGCGCCCGCCACCGAGGCCAGCGAGCAGGCCAGCCGTTTCTCCTCGTTTTGGAGGGTTTAGGGTTTAGGGTTTAGGGTTTAGGATTCAGGGTTTAGGATTCAGGGTTTAGGGTTTAGGGTTTGGTTTTGGGTTGAGGGTATTGGGTTGAGGGTTCCATGGTTCAGAGGTTTAAGGCATTCCTTGCACGCTTCTCTTGCTGACGGCATATTTCCTGCACCTTCTCCTCAGGGTTTCATGTGGGGTTTTGGGCTTGCCAACTGCTCTTGACAGGGCACACCTCACACCCATGTCCTGCACATCGCTAACGCGGAGCCCTGCACGCCGTGAACCCGAAACCATATCCTTAAGAATGCAGACCAGTGGCAGGATGAGTATAGTACCGAAAAGCTGCAACTTAGGGTATCTATGATCAGGGATGATCTTAGGGTGATCTGGGGGCTCAGAAAGTACTCATCATATTTCTCAGTAGAAAAAAACTGTCAAGCCTGTTTAGTCCTCTCAAGGACTCTCTGCCTTTCTTCCATGGAGACAGGCGCCAGCGCCGGAAGCACCCGCAGCCGAGCCTCCGGTTGAGACTACGCCGACCACGGCGGCTGAAGGCGTGGACCCACCTGGAGAGTTTCCGCAAATGACGAGGTCCATGTTGTTGTGTTGTAAACGTTTACGTCTATGCTTATTTTGCTACTAGCAGGATTGCTGTGTTTTTTTGTGGTTTTTTGTTCATTATTATTTCCCCAATACCAATATTGCTTGTCATGTTAGTAGGTCTAGCAGTCTAGCAGTATCACTATTATGATTATTCCTGCTACGATTAGAATGTTGTAATGTTTCTGCTCAAGCAGCTTTCTTCCTCTGACTGTTTTTGTCTACTCGCGTTTTCTGAAGTTATCCCTAAAACTAGTCCTCAGGTGGTAAGACCAAAGCAATCTCTAATGGTCTCTCGAACCCATTTTTTAAATCAAAGCAGCAACACGTGGTCCCCAGGCTGCGGGATCCAACCCAAAGCAAGTTATCAGGCACCATGGGATGTTCCCTCTTATACTAACAGTCCTTAGTAGGGGTTATAATCGGGGGTACTATCATCCCTATTAAAGATTGTTCGTATAAGAGGGAGCATCCCACCAGCCACCCTTTCGATGGTGAAGTCTGCCACTCCGTGCCTGACGAGCCGGAACGTCTTTGTAAAAAGCACCCAGCCTCACAAAGTCATACATTTAGCGTTTAGGGTTTAGGGTTTAGGGTTTAGGGCGATGCTTCTCCTGAGCTACCGTTTCTTTTCATTCTCGGAACTCAGCGCAAAGAAGCCCGAACCGCGCCGTTCGTTGCTGCCTTGGGGCCCCTGTCAGGCGAAGCGGCCCGCGGCTGAGACTTTGTGGCTCTTGCTCTCCATGGGTTCTTTCGGGAATCTTTCGGGTTCTTTAGGGATCTTTAGGGTTCTTTAGGGTTCTTACGGTTCTTACGGTTCTTTAGGGTTTAGGGTTTAGGGTTTAGGGTTCAGGGTTTAGGGTTCAGGGTTTAGGGTTTAAGGTTTAGGGTTCAGGGTTTAGGGCTGAAGACCCGACTCGTAGTCTTTCGGGAGCGCCCTGTTGAGCATTCCCTCCCTAAGCACCAGGGAGTGCCCTCAGTGTTTTGGCGATTGGTGGTTCTGAACTCCAACACCCTTGATTCCTAAACCCTAAACCCTAAACCCTAAACCCTAAACCCTAAACCCTAAACCCTAAACCCTAAACCCTAAACCCTAAACCCTAAACCCTAAACCCTAAACCCTAAACCCTAAACCCTAAACCCTAACACCTAAACCCTAAACCCTAAACCCTAAACCCTAAACCCTAAACCCTAAACCCTAAACCCTAAACCCTAAACCCTAAACCCTAAACCCTAAACCCTAAACCCTAAACCCTAAACCCTAAACCCTAAACCCTAAACCCTAAATCCGAATCCCTAAACCCTAAACGCCTAAACCCTCACCACGCCCAAGCCCGCACTCATCGTCCCAGGCCCCGGAGCATCCGCCGGCCGCCGACGTCCCTGAGCAGGTTGGCTGGGAGGGGGTCAGACAGAGGGGGCATGAGGTATCATGGTACTTATTAACGAGTCATAACTGTACTTATAACTGTACTTTTAACCATGAGGGGCTTGTAACCTCCAAGTATGAGGGGTCCCTGCTTTATGTGCTTCGGCCTCTTTTGTGCCACTTCTGCACTCATACAGTGTGCTGGGAATTCTGGTCTGACTCCTGAACCCTAAACCCAAGACCTTTCTGTGGGAGGCAAAAGCCTCAAACCCCTAACCCCTAACCCCTAACCCCTAACCCCTAAACCCTAAACCCTAAACCCTAAACCCTAAACCCTAAACCCTAAACCCTAAACCCTAAACCCTAAACCCTAAACCCTAAACCCTAAACCCTAAACCCTAAACCCCAGACAATCGCAACAAAAGGTAGCCCCGGCATGTGGCAGGTGCCTGCGGCGGACGTCGTGGACGAAGCTTCCGAGCTCCTGGCCCGCCTGAATGCCGAGGCCTTCAGGGCCGGTGTTCGCTTTAAGCTCCCGAAAAATCTCCCGGAACCTGTTTAGGGTTTAGGGTTTAGAGTTTAGGGTTTAGGGTTTGGGGTTTGGGGTTTGGGGTTTAGGGCTCAGGCGTTAGCCGTGTCTCTTGTTCGCTGGCACGTTGGCAACCGTGTTTTTCTTTCTTTCTTTTTTGTGGGCAACCCTGTGGTTTTTTGTCGTCGCCCCTAAACCCTAAACCCTAAACCCTAAACCTAAACCTCAAACCCTGAACCTTAAACCCTGAACCCTGAACCCAGGAGGCCGCTGAGCAAGTCCAAGCAGCTGACGCCGAGCCGCAGGCGCAGCGTAGCCTCGGGCTTCTTGTGTTTCAGCATGCGTCTTTTATAGGGTTTAGGGTTTAGGGTTTAGGGTTATTGCATCTCATGTTTCACTCTTGATATTCGATACTCTGGAATTCTACTTTATGCATATATTCTACACTCTGGATAGTTTAGGTCACAGCATGTTTGATTGATGTATTGTTGTCTGTTTAGGGTTGTAAGGCTTGTTCATTTTCTTGGTGAGTCTATGATGCTGTATGTCGCTTTATGATATTCATTCTAAATGCTATGGTTCTATGACGTCTTGCTCTGCTCTCTTGCTTCTATGTTGTGCTGCTTCAGCTAAGGAACTCACAACCTCACTTGCGACGAATATTTGCGAAGCGCCCTAAACTCCAACAAAGTATCCTAAATCACCCCAAGCCCTATTGCCTGAGTTTTCCCGAGCCAAGCCAGCCTAAAGCTGGAACCCCAAAGCACTCTCAATTGCTCAAATTCCTCTCCCCTAAACCCCGAAGCCGCCCGAATTCTAACCGCTTCAATCGTTACTTGGAGGTTCATGGTACTTATTAACCAATCATAGCTGTGCTTATAACTAAGGGGCTTATAAGTGGGTTATAAGTACAGTTACCATTGGTGAATGAGTACCATGAACTTCCAAGTAGTGTATGCCGGAGCCAATGAAGCTTGCTCTGGCCGTGAGGTGTGTCACCCGAGCCCAAACTTTTGAAGCCAAAACCCTAAGTCCTAAGTCCTGGACCCTGCGTAAGCCCTGAACCCCTAAACCCCAAACCCTAAACCCTAAACCCTAAACCCTAAACCCTAAACCCTAAACCCTAAACCCTAAACCCTAAACCCTAAACCCTAAACCCCCCATGTCGACAGTCTTGGGAGCTTAGTCTTGGCAGGCCGAGGAGCCCGCTGAAGGCGGCGAGGCCCCCCTCGTTAGAGCGGCGGGCGGGAACCTGAACTCAGTTTAGTTCTTAGGGCTTAGGGCTTAGGGCTAGGGTTTAGGGTTTAGGGTTTAGGGTTTAGGGCTACTTGGAGGTTCATGCTACTTCTTCACCAATGATAACTGTGCTTCTAACGGTACTTCTGTACCAGATTCGGGCTTGTAAGTGGGTTACAAGTACAGTGAAAACTGTTTCAGAAGTACAAGGAACCTTCCAAGTAAGCCTATCTTGGTAGCCCAGTGGTACCCTTTGCCCCTTTTCCTTAGTTTGGGTTTCTTTAATAAAGAAAATTTCATGATCTTAGAATTTCGTCTTCAGGGCTGAATTTATTTCCGGCCCGAATTTCATCTTCAGGAGCCGAATTTCGGCTTCAGGGCCGAATTTCGTCTTCAGCGGCCGAATTTCGCCTTCGGGGCCGAATTTCGTCTTCGGGGCCGAATTTCGGCTTCAAGGGCCCAATTTAGGCTTCAGGGCCAAATTTAGGCTTCAGGGGCCGAGTTTCGTCTTCAGTGCCGAATTTCGTCTTCAGGGCCTAATTTCGGCTGGGCCGAATTTCGTCTTCAAATTTCGTCTTCGAATTTCGTCTTCGAATTTCGTCTTCCCCCCCCCCCCGGAAAAGGGGACCCACTTCCCCGGGTCTCTGCTTAAACATAAACTGAGTCGAGTGCCCTGTCTCGGCAGAGGCGCACGCTGCCGAAGCCGTCCCTGCAGAGGAGGACTGACCTATTGACCTCTATCGTTTGGGCCTTGCTGCATGTCTTGCGGCTTCTTGGTTGATCATTTCTTGGTTTCAGTTCAGGGGTTTTCAGGCTTTCGGCTTTTGGGTTTAAGGGGCAAGGACCCTAAATATGGTAGCATCGCCACAGTGGCCCCATGCCATAAGTAGGTTGCAGTCTACATGTATCATATGCAATACTTGGGGTCCTTGGAAAGCATTCTTACCGTATTTAGAACTCAAGACTATCCCTATGGTGACTTAATTCAAGCTTGTCTTAAGGTATGGTATTCTAGCCGATTTCACAATTCAAGTCCATTCCTATGGCAATTTTTTGCAGTCTATGTGCTGCACTCAGACCCTGTTTTCAACTCAGAATAACCCTCTAAACCCCAAACCCCAAACCCTAAACCCTAAACCCCAAACCTCTGTTCCCTGACGCCGTGCGCAGCTGTCGTGAGCAGGACCCAGCCGCAGCACTCGGCATCGCCTGAGCCCCGGAAGAGCGACGTTGCCCAGGTTTTCGGGTCGCCTAATGTATGGAAACTCCCCCCAAACCCTAAACCCGGCCTAAACCCTAAACCCTAAACCCTAAACCCTAAACCCTAAACCCTAAACCCTAAACCCTAAACCCTAAGCCCTAAACCCTAAACCCTAAACCCTAAACCCGAAACCCTAAACCCGAAACCCTAAACCCTAAACCCTAAACCCCAAACCCTAAACCCTAAACCCTCAACCCTAAAACCCCCAAACCCTCGTTCCGAATATTCAGGAGGGACCCTCCGCAGCACCAGCGTACAGTATTGGTGGATGCTTGGTATTTAGGAAACGGGGTGGGGTGGCTGTTCAATTGTGCGGGCAGGAGATTCTCCGAGTGTTCCTTTGTTTTCGAAAACCACACCTCGGGCCCTAAACCCCAAAGAAAACCTGCCAGACTCCTTTCCTGAACCATCCTGAGCCATCCTAAACTCCCAACCCCTCAACCATCAAAGCTAAGCCCTAAACCCTAAACCCTAAACCCTAAACCCCAAACCCTAAACCCTAAACCCTAAACCCTAAACCCTAAACCCTAAACCCTAAACCCTAAACCCTAAACCCTAAACCCTAAACCCTAAACCCTAAACCCTCAACCCTCAACCCTCAACCCTAAACCCTAAACCCTAAACCGCGAGCTAAGCGCGCTGAGGCTGAGCTGGAGAGGCTTGCTTCCAGCCTGGGCTGCACCCAGACGGCGCTGTTACAGGACCACCCCATACCAAGCTGCTGGTTTACAGGGGGGAGAAGGGGTTTAGGGATCAGGGCCCATTTCACGACTTGCTTTGGCGTTGTGCAAACAAAGAGAGAGCACCGCTCAGCCAATAAGAGGGTGGTGTAAGATTTCTGTACCATTCAAACCGGTGAAATCCCGTTAAACAAGGACAAGGGACCATACTAAGGACGCATGGTTCCACCTCAGACTAACTCAGGGATTCGGGCAGATTTGTGGGGTCCACGTGTGCTTTTTGCAAAAGCCTCCTACTGTACTCTGGAGGCCTGTCTACGATAAGAGGGGAACATGGGTTCACCTTCAGATTTGTGTTTCAAAAGAGTTTACCGTAGTAAACCCTTTCAGAACCCACAAAGAAACTTCGGATTCCCTAGTAAGGGTCTCGTTAAGTCAAGAATGTGCCCGCACAGGCGGCAGAGATTGACGCCTCTGTCGTAGCTGAGCTCCCTGAGGACGCCGAATTTCACGGACTTTTTGCGGTGTCATGAGATCACTTTTCGCGCGCCTCCCTAGACCCTGTACCCTAAACCCTAAACCCTAAACCCTAAACCCTAAACCCTAATACCTTCAACCCTAATACCCTAAAACCCTGGACCCTAAACCCTCAAACCCTAAAACCCCAGGCAAGGCGAGTTGTTTGCCTTGAGAAGCGGATCACACGGAGTGATGCCGACGACACTGCAGGACATGCGCGGCGCCGTCGTCATGGCTACCCTGTCACAGGCCGTTGTTGGGGGGATCGGGGTGGGTGTTTAGGGTTTAGGGCTTAGGGCTTAGTGCTTAGGGCTTAGGGTTTTGGGGTTTAGGGTTTAGGAATTGGGGGTTTAGCATTTAGAGTTCAGGGAGCAGGGCTTCTGCTCTGGGTTCCACGCCCTTCTCGGTGTTTGGCTCCCTGGCATGGGGGACAGCAAGTAGTTCTCGGTGTCGAAGGGCGCGATTCATTTTTTTTGGAGGGGGGGGTGGGGGGGGGGGGGGGGGGGCTGCGGGTCCAGAGGAAAACCAAAACAACCCAAAAACCAAAGCCCCAGACAGAATCTCAGCCGATTGGGTCGTTTAGTTACTAGTAGTATTTGTTTTGGCGTTTCTGCGTGTTTTTGGGTTTTGTTGGTTTTGGAGGATTTTGCCTGGGTTTCCAACCAAAAAAGTAGCAAACACACTCGAAGAAAAAAACAGCAAAACCCGAAAACAAAAAAACAAAAAGGAGTGAGGATTGCTGATTCTGAAATAAACCACTTGCAATGGCGAGTATCAAGTCTTGACTAAGTTACTTCCATGAGTTGTGTTTTTTCAGGAACAAACAACTCCTTATTCGTGAGAGTTGAGTAGCTGTAGGGTGTAAGTTCATGATATTTAATTGTATCAATGACACTACTCTTGTTAATCATGATTTTTCTAAGATCGTTCCTAGACATAGTTAGCACTGTAACGTAGTCGGGGCGGGTAAAGGATCAACTCTGATGAATGGTTTGATTGCATTCTTGCCGAGAAAAAACCATGAACATCTAAAACAAATGTCTAGACTCGCTCTGAGTTTTGGACTGTTTTGCACAGCTGAAAAGACGAAACGCCGTCCGGTTCACTAAAGCCTCTCATGTTATATAGCATATTATGTAGGGTGCGCCTATGCTCATCACACAGTAGATTACACTAACGTTTGCCTATGGGAGGCAGACCCCAAGTCTTGCTTATTTGGGGGGGGAGGGGTGAATACATTTGAAGGGAACTGTGTATGCATACATACACGAAATACTACAAGCTGCCCCAAATCCGAAACCCGAAACCCGAAACCCGAAACCCTAAACCCGAAACCCGAAACCCGAAACCCTAAACCCTAAACCCTGCACACCTACCCACCCCCAACAGGTCAACGTGGACCACCTCCGCGCGCGCAACTCGCCGGCTCCGGGCCCCGGGGCGCCGCCGGAGTCAGGAGGCCATGATGTCCTCGCCTGGGCAGCTGGGTTTGTTGCGTTTGGGGTTTAGGGTTTAGGGTTTTTTAGGGCTTTGGCTTGAGGGTTCGTTGGGTTTAAGGCATATTTGGGATGTTGCGGTATGGGTTTAGGGTCTAACTGGGGTTTAGGGTTTAGGGCTTTATGGTTGAAGATAGAGGGATAGATACGGGCTAAGGATAAAATGGAGGGTTGAGGATTCACTATATGGGGTTTAAGCTTAGCATATATGGCTTTGCGTGTAGGATATATGGACTATAGGCACTAGGATATAGGGTTTAGGGCTTAGGGTGGAAGGATTCGGGAGAAGCCGTGAAGAGGTTTAGGAGGGAGGGCTGAGGGTTAGACAGGGGGTGTTCAGTTTGAGAGGGCTGGTTTCAGGTTGTTTGTTAAAGGGTTTGGATGGCGTCTTATTTCAGTGAATGGCACTACCGGATCAGGGCTCGGACTGTTTGTTGTTGCAGGCATAGTAACCGGCCCTAAGGAATGGTCAGTCAGAGAACCTGCAGAATGGAAGCCTTGTCAAAAATCTTGTATTTTGGAGGATGCCTGGGCTGGCCTTGTGCAAACCTTCAAGCAAAGCCCGGGCGAGGGGGCAGGTGGCACTTGCCCCCTTGGAGTTCCCGAATTCCGAAGTTTATTGATTCGGATGAACCGCGTTGCTGCATGCGGCGGCGGCGGGCTGTGTCTACTACCATCTTAGGCGCACATGGGTACCTCATGCGTGATGCGCTAAGCTATGGCTTATGGTGACTCTATCACTCCTGCCAGATTCCAAGTTGTCCCTCGGAAGGACTCAGCATGGAAGTGCTCGCACGGGGTTGGCGGGTTGTAAGGTTTGGGCCCTGCGCAAACCCCACGTCTTGGCAGCTCCTCAGTCTTTTCTTGCTCTTTGCGGAGTGGGTGGCCTGAACTTCAACAGTAAACCCTAAACCCTAAACCCTACACCCTAAATAACCCTAAGCCCTGCACCCTAAACCCTGAACCTCAAAAGCCACCTGTCCCAGGCTTTGATGAGATTGATGCCTCGGTCCTGGAGGCTCTGCCTCCCGAGATCCGCGAGGAGGCCCACTCTGCCAGTGTTTGGGGCTTGGGGCTAAGAAGGTTCAGGCTCGAATACAGGGGTCGGAATAATGACTAATAGCCCTTAGGGTCCCTTTATAGTTATACCAAAATAACCCCACCCTGTTCTAATTATTAAGGCTCCTACAGTAGAGACTCTGGGGTGTAGGGTTTGAGGGTAGAGGCTTTTTGAGTGGCCTTATGAATGGTTCCGGTGAAGGGATTAGCAGATTAACGATGAGTCGTAGGTTGGGGTTGAGGGTCAGACGTTGCCTCTGTGGGTTCGTGCGCGCGCCCTAAACCCTAAACCCTAAACCCTAAACGCTAAACGCTAAACCCTAAACCCTAAACCCTAATCCCTAAACCCTAAACCCTATACCCTAAACCCTAATTTAGACCCTCTGCGCCGTAAGCTTGCCTGCTGAGCGTGCAGGTGATGAGGGAGGAGGAGCGCCGGCGCCGGGAGCAGGAGACGACCTCCATTGAAATGTTTCGGACCCTACAAAATTGCCCTACAAACCCTGCGCCCCAAGCCTCATCTGGCTTGTGAGAGCGCAAACCGTTAACCCTGTACCCAAAACCCAAAACCCCAAACCCCATAAACCTTAAACCCTAAACCCTAAATCCTAAACCCTAAACCCTAAAACCCTAAACCCTACAAACCCAAAAGCCCTGTACCCCAACCCTCTAAACCCAAGCAGTGCATATCACTTCAAGGAGAGAGCCCAGAGAGCGGCAGAGACGGCCGCAGCGCAGACGCCCCAGGCCGGGCAGCCAACTTCTGCAGTTAAAAGCGGTAGGTGTCTCTTGGGCTCATGAGGCTTGGGGTTCAGGGTCTTGGGGTTTAGAATTCGGGGTAAGGATGCAGAGTTCGGGTTTAGGTTTAGGTTTTAGGGTTACGGAGTGAAGGACCGATAAGGGACTACAGAAGGATTGCGATATACATGAATAAACCCTACCAAATCCCTAAACCCTGAACACATAAAGCCCTTAAACCCCGAAGCCCCAAACCATAAAACCCCCAACCCTAAACTCCACGCAGCCCGCTGTGTTTGGACGAGGCTCCTGCTGGGGCCGGTGTCGGCATGAGCGGCAGCCTCAATCACCAACTGGATCCAACTGGAGGATCAGAGGACTTAGTACGCCGGTCGCGTGTGGGTTCAGATACGAGTCTCTTAGTTCTGTCTAGCCGGCATTTACAGTATGTTGCAAACAAGCATGCATCTTTGTGTCATGTACATCTATATCGTTTAGTACATTTATACAACATGCATCCCAGCATGCATGCACATACATTCCTTACGTACATACATTCATACATACATGCATGCCAGCGTAGACCCCAAACAGTGAGGGAGAATCTGCTGTAAAGGTTCAGATGCTTCTGAGTGCACGCAAAGGGGCAACCCCCAGGTCTCCACCGGCACTGTGGCGAGAGTGCGATGTGAGAGAACCTTTGAAGACCACACCAAGAGCACTCCAAGATACCTCCGTTAAACGTGGTACTTAAATCAAGTGGACATCTCCTGTCACTGATGTTACTGCCTTTACATGTCAGGCAAATCCCCAAATAACACTCCAAATAAGACTGGGCCCTAAACCAAACAGTTCATTTAGTTAGGAGTAGGTGTTTTCATGTTGGACACCTCTTGCCCCAAGGTGGTGACATAGACAATGCACCCTGTTCGAAGGTGGTGACATGGACAATGCGTCCTTCATCGCATCGCCAGGATCTCAACACCTGCAAAACCCAAAGCTCAGGTCCAGCCGTCAACCGAAAGACCTACGAAACTAGCCCTCAAACTCCGCACCCGAAGGTGTCCCGAAACGCCTGAGACTCCTGTTCCTTGCCGTGCCCTTGACCAAGGCTCGACCCAATGCTGCGCGAGGAAGTTCTCATGACCGCACCGGAGGCCGGTGTCGGAGCCATGATTGGTTCTTTTGATTCGTGGAGTTGAGGGCTTGGAGGGGGGGGGGGTTTCGAGTTCAGGGAGACTTCAGGGAGATGCAGGGTGTAGGATTTAGGGTTAAGGGTGGCTTAGGACTACGGGTTCAGGGTTGCGGGGTTCATCCGTTGCGTTCTCGTTGGAAAATGCTTTCTCCACGAAGCTAGAGTCCTGTTCTGGCAGGCACGCTGGCATCAGGAGGGATGTTGGGTGGGGGGAGTGGGGTGGGGTGCTATTCTGAATGGGGGTCCCTACGCCTGAAGGGTCCCGCCAGGTTTTCTTAGCCCTCAACCTTAGGCGTCATACACTCTCAAAAGCTCTCAAAAAGTCTCATAAACTCGAGAGCCCTAGGCTTTCACCCCGGCTCGTCTGACTTCAGGAAGTGCTACAGACGTTGCCGGCCGAGCTGGTTGCAGAGGCTCGTGCTGTGACAACATCAAGTCAGTCGTTCACTGAACAGCGCTTGTGAGATTTTGCACGGGCATTTTGAATCTTAGGCCTGCGTAGTTACGTGAGTTCTGAGATTTTTTACATGCTGCCCGACATGGAGCCTTTGATCTGAAGTTCCGTGTGAGTTTGAGGGTTCAGAGTCTAGGTGTTGAAAGCTATTAAGGGGCTCATGAAAGGGGTCCCCTAAACCGTAAATCTCTAAACCTCTACCAGCACCCCCAACGCTTCGTGAACCCTAGTAGTAGCACATATAGGCCCCCTTTGTTATTACATGCAGGTCAGCGCTTTAGGTATGTTGTAGCGTATGCTGTGAGGCGCAGATGATCCGTGATCGCGCCTTCATGCGCATCGCAAGCCACCGCGAGGCCTCGGGTGTGTCTAATATGGGCTGGGATGGTGGGAACTCGTCGGTGTCGGGGTTGAGGGTGTTGAAACTTTAGGGTTGAGGGTTCGCGTGTGTAGGTTTAGAGTATATAGAGGGTTCTGGGTTTAGGGTTCTCGTGTTTAGGGTTCTGGTGTATATAGAGGGGTTTTGGGTTTAGGGTTCTAGTGTTTAGTGTTTAGGGTGTTGAAACTTTGGGGTTGAGGGTTCTCGTGTTTACAGTTCTAGTGGATATAGAGGGTTCTGGGTTTGGGGTTCTAAGCCAGAGTCTGGGTGGTGGGGCCTGCCTTTGTGTGATGTTGTGCCTGTGCCGCAGTGTTGCAACGCAGGCGCCAGCGCACATCTGGCTCCTAAAGATCCACCGAACAAAGATAGACCGATGTCTGCCGAGGGTTTAGGGTTTAGGGTTTAGGGTGTAGGGTTTAGGGCGTAGGGCTTAGGGCTTGGGGCTTAGCGCGTGCTACTGCTTGTACAGACTGTTATGTCGCCCCTTACAAGGTAGTTGTCCGCATCAACGGTCACTCCGTTTAGAGTCTGGTGTTCAAGTGTGATGCATCGTCGTACCATATTGTGGGCTCACAACAGCTGTGGAGGGTGTAAAGTTTCGGCGCTAGGGCGCAGTCTAGGACCGTTTGTTGTTTTGGGGGGGGGCGGGGTTTGGCAGGGTGGAAGAGTGTGGGGGAGGGTGTAGAGTTCGCGCTTGCGTTTAGGATTTAGGGAAAGCTCGTTGACAGGGGCCCCCTCCAGCGCAACCGCCTCCGCCTGCGCGTGTGGGGAGCTCGGTGCGCTTGTGGCTTCCCTGCTGGGGCTTTCGGGCTCACCTGCGACCCTTATTGTTAATTGAAAATATATAGCAATGTTAGAATATATCACATCATATATTACTATTATTGTTATTTGCTAGTAATTATTCCTGCTGTTATATAGTTCTTTTTATTTCTCGTTATTGTATTGTTTGTTGTTCCGGTGTCGTGTTGTCGTTTTTCGCTAGTTAGCTAGTTCCATTGCCTTTTTCTGTGCACGCGCAGAGCTAGCGGTCTACCGCGTCAGTACCGACTGCAAGCAGGGGCCTGTTACCTACAGTCTAATCAATGGGTGTTGAGTCCTTGGAGCGTCTGTTACACACAGTTCAGCTGTCGCTATTGTTTGTTGTTTTTGGAGGGTCGGTTGCTCGTACCTGCTTTAATTGGAGGGTCTATTACGGTTTAGGTGCAGATATCATGTATGCGTATGTCTCACTCCATGTGCATTAATCCATATGTTTTCATATCCAGAACCTGTTGAACTCTGTCATGCCCATAAGGGTTATGGCTCGTTAAGGACCTCTCACTGTCGGTTCAAGGCAAGTTTGGTCTTTCATATTCACCTTTGTTGCTGGCCTTCAATATTTGTTCATCTTGTTTGCGTTGGAACAAAGAAGGTTTGATAGTTTAGGGCCTTCTATATCTTGAACTCGAATTGGGCTTAAGGCCGTCTTTCCCCCCAGCAGTGTAGTAGCTCTATGGGGTTCCTACAACTAGGACGAGGGATTGGGTCAGTGTGCGTGTATGCACGTGTGCACAGCTTGGCAAACCTGTCCAACCGCCACAGTCCGCTCGAGCGCGCGCCGCTAGTATCGGTTCTGCAAGGTCCGGGGATCAGCATTGGAGGTTGGAGGCGAGAAAAAATTCCTTTGCCTCGAGCTTTGTCAGTTTGCGAAATAGCTCAGAGAGGGTCCCATCACCCGCGAAGCGGTGACGGGGGCTGCCCTAAACCCGCACCCTAAACCCTAACCCCTAACCCCTAACCCCTAACCCCTAACCCCTAAACCCTAAACCCTAAACCCTAAACCCTAAACCCTAAACCCTAAACCCTAATTAAACCCTAAACCCTAAACTCCAAACCCCACGCCCAGGGGGCCTCGAAGTAGCTTCGAGCCCCCGAAGATGGACTCAGGGTGAGAAGCCAAGGCTCCGCGGGTCCAGCCGCAGCCCTCGGCGCGGCCCCACCAATACCTTCAGGCCCCTTGAGTTTGGGGTTTAGGGTTAGGGTTTAGGGTTTAGGGTTTAGGGTTTAGGGCTTAGGGTTTAGGGTTTAGGGCTTAGGGTTGCGGGATGTCTAGGGCTTAGGCCCCTTGGGTTTAGGGCTCAGGGTTGAGGGATGTTTTCAGGCCTGTTGGGTTTAGGGCGTAGGGTTGAGGGTTTAAGGATGTTCAGGGTTCAGGGCTTCGGGTTTAGAGCTCAGGGTAAAGGGATATTTTTTGGGTTTAGGGCTGAGGGTTCACGGATGCGCTTTGTGAAGGGCGCGTCGGCTCACGGTTTTTTCGGCTGAAGGGTGATGAGTTTAGGGCTTCGGGGTTGAAGTTTAAGGCAAGGAGTCTAGGGCTTGTAGCCTTTGGTGCGTTCCTGCTTTGGTTAAGGGTCAGGATCTGTCAGACGGAGCCCCGAAAATGCAAACCAATTTCGAGCAACCTCTTAACCTTCTTTCTCCAAGCATGTGAATACTTATTGTAGAGCTGAAAGTCAATATAAACAACACCCGATCCTTGATTCCTGGAACGGAGACCTGGGCCGACACGACACAGCTCCGAATGCCAGTCATTTCTTTGGGTACCCGAAATTCGAGGGGCCGCCTTGTAATACGGATCCCAAAAGGGACAATATTGTAGAGAAACGGCCACATATATATATATATATAGCCATACATATATATATATATATATCTGTATTTTCCGGCGGAAGTGTGTGTCAGATACCTCACACCATGAATCCCTGGCGACCCACAGTTGCCCTAGAGTGACCCTGCTGTACACTTGGGAGGCTATGGAGCAGCAGCTCTCACAACTTGCAGGAGGCGAGGGGAAGCACATGACTTGGCATGGACACGTAATCGTGGCAGCTCCCGGGGCTGAGCAAGCAGTTTACTTGTCAATTTTGGGTTGAACGTGGCCCGTACTGGAGGCTACTAGTAACTAGTACTTTTCGCCTAGCTCAGTTGTGCCTGCTTACTGAGTCCGTGAAGCCCATGCAGTCCCCCAAAATTGGGACCTTTTAGCTTCAGGCCCCTGAGGAGGTGCGGAGCATGTTCCAAAATGGGAAGCTTTTGCTTCAGAGGCTTCAGGGTTTACGGTCCGTTCCTGGCGCTCCCAAGACTACCCCACATCACGGCTCCTGAAGCCTCAAAGTAGATCGCTTAGGTAGAAGGAAGGCCTGCCCGCATGGGTGATCATCACTCTGGTTTTGCGAATATTGTCCAGCTTGATTATATGACTCTACTTACCGACGACGACAGCGACCATGGCCATGGCCACGAGGACGATGATGACTACTACTGCCATCGTCATTGCGAGTACTATATCATGAGTACCCTTGAAATAGTTGCGATTACACCGGTTGTCCAAGCAACCCCTATATTCCTGTGCAGGTCGCAGGGCATGGCTACATGGCACGGACGGCCGCTTTCGACAGGCCTTGTGGAACGTGCCCGTTGATTGGGCTTAGGGCTTACATAAGGCTTCGGGGTTAGATCCGTGGCCGCCGAGAGCAGGTAGACCCATCTCTTCGGCCGATCAAGCGGGGTGTAGAGGTTTAGGGGTGTAAGTTGTAGGTCGGTGCGGGGCTGTAGTAGTGTCTTGAGGGTTTTGAGGGGTTTTGCGACTGACGGTTGAGGGTACGGCGTCTCTGGGATCCTTTGTTTCCGTTTCGTTATCTACGAACTGTGCAGAGTTCACTGGTGAGGGCTGGGCACGGGTGCAAGCGAACTCATATGCGTCCCAACTGCATAAACTAGACAGGCGGCTTAGGGTTCAGGGTTCAGGGTTTGGGGTTAAGGGTTTAGGGTCTAGGGTTTAACTACCATGCTTCGTTTAAGTTCAAAAGAGGCCCTGTATAGAGAGGATGGCAGCCTTCGACCCCTTGCCAGGTTCCATGTTCTTCTTGGAACGCAGGGGCTTAAATGCAGAATTATGAATGCCATCCCCTGATAGTCCATGCAGAGCATATACCGATGATGTATACCCAACACCATATTCCATGCCGTTGGGCCCCTATAGTCAGGTGTTTCTCCCTTCCTAATTTTGCATCCTTTCAATGCGGCCGGGAAGAATTGCGAAGGCCAGCGACGACTTCATGGCCCAACTGGGCCTGGCGCTGGGCGGCAGCCGCAGCCGGCAGGCGGTTCTTGTGGACTTCGGAGTTCAACCTGTCAAGGATGCTTTGGGGGTGCTTTGCGTGGCAGTGGGGCCTTGTGAGTTTCAAAACATGTGTTGCAGCATCTTGAACGCATGTGAAAGATTCGCCTGGAGCCCGAAAATATGCTGAGGGTGGGGGGGGGGGGGGGGGAGTATCCTTGTCCCTCTGCGGCAAGAAGGCGTGGGCCACAACTGCAGGTCTTATACTTTAGTACCCTTCGTGGGAGCTAGATCTTCTAAGCTAGGGGTTGGGGTGCGGGGTTGCAGCAGTTGGATTTGGGATCTGCAAGGGGGTCAGGAACGGAAAGCCCTGAACAAACCTTCGAACCCCGTAATTTCCGAGTAGACGCCCAACCCCCCGACCCTCCCATGGCAGGCTGCACCGTTAGTGGCCGCAACCAATGCCGGCCCCGGCCCCGGAGCCCGGGTTGAGGGTTTATGGTTGCTGGGTCTCAGGGGCCTTAGGGGTCTTCGAGCCCGAGCTGCCCCAGGACTGATCTTGCCTCTGAGGTACGCGTTGAGAGTTTTTGCCGTTGAAGGCTCCGGGCGTGCAGCTGACTACTTGGGGTGTAGGACTCCGGGCTTGGAGTTTGTAGGGTTGCGGGGCTGAAGATGTAGAGTTCGGGATTTGCAGGTACTTGGAGTTCAGGGCTCGGGGCCTAAGGGACGGATTCTAAGTGAGGTATCCTCACTTATAGCTTGTAGGGTTTAGAGTTTAGAGTTTAGGGTTTAGGGTTTAGGGTTTTAGCCTGCCCTGCAGCGCAACAGCTACCGTCGTCGTGGGGACCCCCCAAAACAGCTCTTGAGACGGGGTTGACACGTTTGTTTCTTCTCACTTGCTGAGAGGCCCAGGTCAGGATTCGGGCGCGTAAAGGCCAAAACTGCTTTGGGGTGCTTACCCCAAGAATGCCTGCTGTAAACATCCTGAAGGGCCCCCAAGAAGCAATCCCTACACTCGGGGAAGGAACACGGCCCTAGACCCAAAGGGTTCAAGTTCAGGTACCCTTAGAGTGAGTAGATACATATCGGCCTCGCAGTAGGGGTTAGGCTGCAAGACCCGGGTATCTAGTACAAGGATGCCTGGATCTCTCGGAAAACTCGGGAACCCGCAGGGCCCTCATCCCCTGCTGGCCGAGGAGTGGGAACGCCAGGGCTCGCGTCCTTCGACGAGGCCAGCTGCAGTGCAAACATGACAACCGCAACGGCAGCAATCATAGTACTGATGCCGACGACAGCAACGAAAACAAAGCAAGAAAGCCAAAGCTACCCGCTAAAACCCCTAACCCCCTAAACCCCTAAACCCCTAAACCCCTAAACCCCTAAACCCCTAAACCCCTAAACCCCTAAACCCCTAAACCCCTAAACCCCTAAACCCCTTAAACCCCTAAACCCCTAAACCTTAAACCCTAAAGGGCAGGAGAGGCCTAGCTGGCTTTCCACTTGTGGGGCCACGGAGGCTGACCGTGCGCTCCTCGAGCGCCTCGCGGACTACGACGAGGACGCGTGCCAGGCCGAAGCCGGGTTTAGGGTTTAGGGTTTAGGGTTTAGGGTTTAGGGTTTAGGGTTTAGGGTTTAGGGTTTAGGGTTAGGATTTAGGGTTTAGGGTTTAGAGTTTAGGGCTCTCGAGGCCCTTTGAGATGAGAAGCTGATTCTAGACCCTCCAAACCCTCCAAACCCTGCTCCCACCTGGTTCAGCCGGGTGGCGCATTCTGGACGAGTAGGGACGATGGACAAGAACCCGGGGCGGAGCAGCACTTCCAACTGAGGGAGCAGCGCCCGAGGCCAGAAAGCACGAAAAATGAATCCCAAAGAGCCACCGGTGATCACAAGCCTAAGCCGCTTTAGGGGGCTTGCGCCGCAGGGGTTGGATCCGCCCTTGCCACCTTCGGCCATCCCAAACGCCCGCATCTCAGTCTCCGCCCTGCCGGGGCGCCAAAGTCGCTGCGCTGTTCTGTGCATGGCCCGCGGGGCTTTTTCTAAACCCGAACTCCAGAACCTTCACTTAACCGCGAATGCTCAATCCTAAACCCTGAACCTCAAACACTGCAACCTTTGCACCTAAACACTAGACCTTAGACCCTAAGCCCTAAGCCCTGACCTTGCGGAGGTGTGCCAGCTTCTGTACCTCCGGCATGAGGCGGGTGGGGTTGCCTCGCCCGTGACGGAGTTGGCTTTCCAAGCGAGACGTGGACGGGGGGGTTTGGGGTCTATAGACCTACTTGGAGGTTCATGGTCTTGTTAACCAATTATAGCTGTACTTATATAACCCCCTGAGAAGCCTCTTAAATATGGTGAGAAGTGTAGTGTTTAGTACAGTCACGATTGGTTAAGAAGCACCATGAACTTCCAAGTATAGGTTTCGAGTTTCAGGTGACGCTTCAGGTCGTTGGTTTAGGAAGGCCTCTGATGAATGACGGAAGAAAGAACCCATGCTCACTGGGATGCCGGCGCATGCTGCAGAGAAGTGCTCCACCCCGGAGATCGGAACCCCCCTAAGCCCCTAAACCCTATGTCGGGCTTTCCGAAATTGGGGGCACCTTTATTGGGCTTATGCAAAAAACCCTACTATTTGGGGGTTTGTACTCGGGGTCCCTTATTTTCGGAAACTGGTGATCCGCAGGTGACGGTGACTCCTCTCACGCGGCTCTTCTTCAACCTCTCCTTGCACCCGGCCACGCGCCAGTTCACCATGGGGCAGTTCTTGGCACAGACCTCAGTCGCCAAGTGCTCCCAATCGTCGGTGCCGATGTGGGTGTGCGCGTGTGCGTGTGCGTGTGCGCCTGTGTTTGCGTGTGCGTGTATGTGTGTATAGATATAAGCATATATATATATATATGTATGTATGTATCTATAAAAACAAGTGTACATATATATATATATATAATATAATATATATTTATATATATAGAGACATAGATAAAATATGGTTTTCCACAGCGCCTAAACCTCCTCACCACAATCCCACGTGTGATCTAGGTGCTCCTCTGCAAGGAGCCTCAGGCCCGGTCTTGACTGCCGAGATGCATTGAGGACTTTTTGCGAGGGTCTCCACAGGACAGAACCCCTAAACCCTGAAACCTACTCACCCATCCGAAAAGCAAAACATAGAAAAGCACAAGACGTGATAAGGAACTCGAAAGTTAGACACCCACCACCCACACAAGGGAAATCCTAGCAACCGCCCTACACCCTGAACCCTGAACCCGAAACCCCAAACCCCGAACCCCAAACCCTAAACCCTAAGCCCTAAACCCAAAACCCTAAACCCTAAACCCGAACGTGTAAAACCCAAGCAAGAACCCCAAGCCCCAAACCAGCCTCGTGACCAAGCGGAGGCGGTCGGATGCAGGGAGCCTTCGCTTCCGCCTGCTCACCTCTACGAAGGCTGCCGCAAGTGCCGTTTCGGGCGCTTCTTGCAGGGTTTTTGGGGATCTAGGATTATTAGTAATAAGCTGGGGGTATTTCAAGGCCGTAGGGTTTTGGGGCTTTGGGGGGGTGTGGATCTGGGGTTTGCGCCTTGGATATCATGGAGTGCAGAGTTTTCGGGTTTCGGTTCTGAGGCTTTTTGGCCGGGTGCGAACCCCTTGGGGTGTTTAGGGGGCTCGGGGGGCTCGGGCAGTGGGCGGATTTTGCGCGTTTAGGGATTTAGAGTTTGGGGCTTAGGCGGCTTGGGCTTTGGGTGGTTTTTGGGGTCTCAGGGTTGGTGTCTTGAGCGTTTCAGGGCATAGGGTTAGAGGTTTGGGGTTTCTGGATTTTGGGGTCTTTGAGGTTCAGGGCTCCGACTGTTGAGCTTTCGAGCTTTGAATCTGCCATGGTTCCTCTTCAGAGGCCTGGAAAACGGCCAGCTGCCGATCTCCAATTCCACGGAGGTGAAGGCAGTCGTCTTCGCAGAAGATCGCAGAGAGATGGAGAGAGCCACCAGGAGAGCCCAGAGGGAGAGTATAGCCACCCCCCCACATACTGCATAATGGAACTCTTAGGGGGGGGGTATGCAATATCAGGGGGTAGGGGGGGGGGTAAAACTAGGGGGGAAGGGACTAGAGAGTGGGGAGAAAGAGAGCGAGGGAGCTTCCTCAAGCCGGTTGCTGCCTTTGAGCCCTCTTGGGGCCTTTGAGCCCTTTTTCCAGGCTGTGGGCGCCCAGCGGGCGAGGGACCTCAGAGTTCAATGGACTCCTCTGTCATTTCAACTTAGGGTTTAGGGTTTAGGGTTTAGGGTTTAGGGTTTAGGGTTTAGGGTTTAGGGCTTAGGGTTTAGGGTTTAGGGTTTAGGGTTGAGACGAAGGGCGGTTGAGTGCAGTGCGCGATCTTGCCAGCCGTGCCGGGAGCACCCAAGCAGCGCTTCCTTGCAGACCCAGGTCCTCCAGATCTTGGCGTACCTGCTGAGACGCGTCCCGCAGCTGGGAACCCGGGAGTGGGACCTTCTAAGCCCTGCGAAGCTCTACAGCAACACCCTGCTTCCTAGAAGTTCCCCGAGAGAAGGTGCCTAAACCTCGAAACCTCCACGAGGTGCGGGGAGTTCTTTGCGAAGCCTCTGCAGAAGGAGTCGTGGCTGGAGGTGGGCCGTATGGTCAGCTCTCTAAATCATAGTCCCCCTTTTTGGGTACCCCAAACAAGAGGGGCCGCCTTATAATAAGGACCCCAGAAAGGACCGTAAATGAAAGAAATCACCACATGATTTTTGAAGGCGGCAGGTTGTGGGCTCGGTGGGTTCCCTGAGCCGTTTACAAACCAGGTCGTTTGGCAAGTATGCATCCCATGTGGCTCAAGGGCCAAGAAGTCAGTGAGCCTTGAGCATGCATTCAGCTGCTTTCAACCTTGTACAGTGTACAGCGCAACTAACCTTTCCAAAACCCGAAACCCTAAACCCGAAACCCTAAACCCTAAACCCTAAACCCTAAACCCTATACCCTAAACTGGCCGTCCATGTCAGGGTGAGGCGCCGCTAGTCAGTGGCGGCCACTTGTCCAGCCTCGTGGGGCACCACTCGGCCCCGACCCTACACGTACCGTTCGGGTTCAGGGTGTAGGCTTTAGGGCCCCGAGGGTTGAGGCCAAACTAGTTTAGGGAGTTTAGGGAGTTTAGGAAGTTAAGGGAGTTTAGGGAGTTTAGGGAGTTTAGGGAGTTGAGCTTTTGGCAAATTGGCAGATTTGCCCCAAGATGTTCAGGGGATCTCAAGGGTATTCGTGGCCAAGTCTCCCTACTTCGAAGCTTGCCCTTCTCGACTCACAGCCCCCCGGAAGTAGACCCCTTTTGAGGTGAACGTGCTGCTCCGGCTCCTCACAACGAAGCGCGGCGCCCAGTTTTTGCACTTGGCCTCTGGCAGCCTCTGGGCAGAAGAAGCAGAATGATGGCCCCCGCCATGATGGCCCCTGCCATGATGGCCCCTGCACTATGGCCCCCCCTGCATGATGGCTCTTCTGCGCTCCTCCCAAATGGAACGGCTTCTATTGCTGTCTACATACAGTGATATGGGCTCCCAGTTATCTGGAGTCCCTATATGATCCCGCATCAAAGGTTGTTTATGGAAGCCCCCAAATTTTCATTGAAGGTGATCTGCTACCCGAAGTGGAGCAGAAAAGTCTCCCCCCCCCCCCCCCAGGGCGCTTCCATGTTGGTTTGCAGCTTAGGCTTGGGGGATTTAAATTTCAGGGGTTCATTTGGGGAAGCCCTAAACCCTAGACCCTAGACCCTAGACCCTCAACCCTAAACCCTAAACCGTGGACGGAGGCTGTTCCTCGTTTCCTCCCGGCACGCAGTGCGGGCCTTGGAGGATGACGAGTCAGGAGTGTGGGAGCGACTGCCAAACCCTAAAAATTGCTGAGCACTAGGGCCACTGAGACATCGGATGGGGGGCCGAAGGCCCCATGCTCTCCACCAGGGTTTAGGGTTTAGAATTTTTAGCGACTAGACCCTAAAATCATTCACCACCCGGCCTGCTAAGTTCATGCCTGCCCCTGAGATGTCTGGCAGCCCGTGGTGCAATCTTCTTAGATGCTCAATAAGTGGCGCGCCGTTGGGGAATGGTCGAATAGCCATGGAGACGTAGAGAGGATCCCCCCTCTCGCTGGCCTTGCAACAGGCGCAGGGCTCGGAGGGCCCTGGAAGCCCTTGAAGGGCTCCCGGAGCCCAGTTTAGGGTTTAGGGTTGAGGGTTGAGGGTTGAGGGTTGAGGGTTGAGGGTTGAGGGTTGAGGGTTGAGGGTTTAGGTTTCTGAAATTGGGTCAGTGCCGGTACGCAGCCCTATGAAAAAGGCCTGGCTGCTTGCCATCCTCCATGCGTTGCTGGTGCCCGTCAAGGCCGGAAACCTTTGGGTTTGTCCATCTAGGCTTGGAGGCTATCCTTTTTGTGCGCAGCCGCTAACTTCGGGGACGTAGAAGAGAAAAACATAATTTGAAAGGGCTTGCCAAGTCCCCTGAGCTTCCAACTGTGCCCAAACCACCGCCAAACCACTGTGCGCGGTCTGTCTCGCCCGAGCGACTCTTGCAAGTACAGCTAGCGTGACATTGCCGGAAGGATTTGCGCGAGACTGCACATGCCATTGGATGCTGATCAGGACAAGAAGCCGGAGAAGCCAGATGATTCTCCTGCAGAGAAGGAGCAGGCTCATTGCTAACGGGGCCTCTCCAACCTCCACCCTAAGGCCCAAACCGTAAGCCAAGCCCTCAACTTCCTAAGCCCTACGCGCGGCCGAAACCTTAAACCCTACGCACGCTCAAGCCTGAGGCTAAACCCTAAACCCGAACTCTGAAGCCCGAAATCTGAAGCCCCGGCCCAAAAAAAAAGCTCACCGCAAGCCCCAGCACACCTTAAAGCATGAGAGCACGCCGCAGGCCTCGGGATCTCCTGACACGCCCGGTGACGACGAGGACAAGCGCTTGGGAAAGTAGAGGGGGCTCATGTGGTAGGCTAGGGTGTTTTGGGAACTCAGCATTGGCAGCTTCCGGCCACTTTTTTAGGATTTCAGGGTTGGGGGCTTGGGTCTGGTTAAAGGGGCTAGGATACAGAATTTAGACTTTGGGCTTTAAGGGGTCAGGGGGCTGTTCAAAAGTGGGCCTCGAGCCTCTTTTTGGGGGGATCCTTGCAAGAAAGATGGCATCCGACTGGGACCTGGAGAGGGGCCCCTTGAGGCACCCTTTTTTAACATATACCTTATGTGTACGAAATGCATAATACTGAGTTACCCGCAAGGGGGCTCCTCAATTCAGAGCAACGTCCCCTCTTAATTGTCACTCGTGTTGAACACGGGCGTCCTAGGAATACTCCTCCGAAAGGCCCCCTCCAGAACACCCCCTCCGAAGGAGGGAAAGGTGAAGAAGGAAGTGCCTGCAGAGCAGCAGATCCTGGAGCGTTCCTGCCTCGGATTTTATGTGTGTTTAGGGAGTTTTTTAAGGGTTTCTTTTCCCCGGTGTTTCGGGTTTGTTGGGGTGGGACTGACAAGTACGTCACCGTGGCGTTTGCTCGTCTCCCACTGCAAGGCTGGTCATCCATCAACAAGAACATGCACGCCGTGCTGTCCCAAGAGAGCGTGCGGCGCTCAGCTGTGGAAGGCTTGCCCTGCGCACTTGGAGAAGCAGGCGCGCTGCCGTTTGAACCCTGAGCCCCAGATCCAGCGAATGCCAGAAGCCCCAAAACCGTCAAAGCTAAACACCCATGAAGCCATGCCTAAAGAAGAAAGCGTCGTGCAAGGTACTGGCGTTGTGCCATTTCCTTTGCCAAGCAGGAAGTGGCCACGGATCCAGCGGCGAGGTGGCGCGGCAGTACTATACGTTTAGGGTTTAGTAATTAGGGTTTAGGGTTAGTCAGGCTTTAGAAGCCAGTCGCCCCCCAAAGCCTAGGCCCTGAGTACGGAGTCCTAAACCCGAAGCCTTTGCATCCCTGAAACCCCGAAGATTCCTAAAGCTCCAGGCGCCTAAATCTGAAACTCTAACGGTTATTAGAGTCTTCGGGGTTTCATGGATGTAAAGGCTTCTAACCCCCTTAGCCCTAAACCCGCAGCCCAAAATCCGTAAGCCTTCAACCAGCCCTGGGTTTAGGGTTTAGGGTTTAGGGGTTAGGGTTTAGGGAACCCTAAACCCTGAAATCCTCAGCTTGTCCACATGACCTGGGAGGCGGACACCTTCCAGATGGCGGGGGAGATCCTCGTGGCCCTGGCGGCCTCGCAGGAGTTTGGGATTTGGAGTCGTTTGGGGTTTTGGGGTTTTGGGGTTTTGGGGTTTTGGGGTTTTGGGGTTTTGGGGTTTTGGGGTTTTGGGGTTTTGGGGTTTTGGGGTTTTGGGGTTTAGGGTTTAGGGTTTAGGGTTTAGGTTTAGTTTTCGAGATCTCGGCTTGTGTTTTAGGATTCGGGGCCTGGGGGTTTTAGGCTCAACATGGGGCTTCGGGGTTTGGGTTAGGATATGGACTCAAGCCTGCCAGCCTGCGCCCTTTCTCGACATGTAAGCTCGGTGCTTCACTTTCATTGTGTACATGTTGCTGCTTTTTCAGGGTCTCCTTGTCCCTGGTCTTGTGTTCTGTCGAGGAGCACCTCACGATGGTCCGGGCAGACCTGATGAGGGTCCTTGCAGACCTCGCGCGGGGCCACAGATCCTTTCTGACATGGAATGAATGCCCTGCCATCAAATCTTTTGTACCCCTGCGCCACCAGCAGCATGAAGTGTTTCGCATTCTTGTAGTCTGGTTGCATGCTGTGCTCCATCGTAGGTTTAGAGTTGCATATTGGGAGGGGGGGGAGGGGGAGAATAGTAGGTAAGGGGAGGGCCTCGCGTAAGATGGTGGAGGGGTCTAAATACAGACAAGTTTTTTCCCTCATGAGTCCTCATCAGCCTGAAGGATTACTGATATCATCGCCCCAATCATCCCGGCAAAGTTATACTAATTTTCACCGAATTTTGGATTCAAATTTCTTAACGGACCCCCCCCCCCCCCACCCCCGCAGAAATTGGCGGGACAGATTGTCCAGCTTTGCAGTCCACCCATTTTACGATAAACTGTCAGTTCTTGAAGTTAACCTACATAGAGCGGCGGCACGGCGACAGCATCGAAGCCCAGTCCATCCTTAAAAGCCACGTAGCAGCGGCAGCAGCAGCTGTGTAGAACGCAAAAAAATAGCGTCCCAGGTCACCAACATCGAAGCTGACCTCGCCAAGTGTGAGCCCGGCTCAACGGAGCCCTCCACCATGGAGACGCGGCTCCTACGCCTGGTGCGAACCCTCGCAGAGGCGGATCTTCTTTTTAAAATCATTATCGTTATGGTTAGGGTCCTGACTGAGTGGAGGGTTTACGAAAATAAGGGACCCCGAATATACACCCCCCAAACAGTAGGAACAAAACAAGGACCCCAAGAAGGTGCCCCCGAACTTCGGAAACCCCCGAGTGGGCACTGATCTTCTGGCCCCTGGGGATCCTCCACCCCCCTACACCCTGAACGCTGAACCCTAAACCCTAAACCCTGAACCCTAAACCCTGAACCCTAAACCCTAAACCCTGAACCCTGAACCCTGAACCCTGAACCCTGAACCCTTCAAAATCCTCGTGTTCGTGGCCTCCCACTTCGCCAGGTCTTTAAAGAGGCAGCGAAGGCGAGCCCGGATCAGGAGCGAAAGCTTAGGGACTGAATGTTTGGGTGAAAGAGATGTTAAGTGTTTAAGTTTCTAGGTTTAGGCTAAGTTGGGGGGGGGGTTAGGGGGTGGAATTCTGAAAGTTGTGGGTTTCAGAGCTTCGGAATTGTGTAATTGACGTGTAAGGCGGCTTGGAGCTTTTGTGGGATCAAAAAAGCTTGGTTTTGCGTTTGAGCCAGTCAGCGAGTGAGTCAGTGAGTGAGTGAGTAGTGAGAGGGCCGCAGAGAGTCGCCCCTTGACAAACGGGCGGGCGCCGTGGTTGTCTCACACCGCGCTGGGAGGTTTAAAGGCGAACAAACGGAGCGTCTAAGGGCTCTCCGAAAACGTCACATCGCCCCACGCGCTGCTCGGAGTGAGCAATGCTGGCGCGTTCTGCATGACTCGTTTACCCTCGCACCTCCTTCTGCCGGCAGCGGGGCAAGTGCAACCAAGCCAGCGAAGGGTTGAAGAAACCCACCTAACTTCAGACTCAGCCCACCAAAAACATCCAAATCGCTTCCCCACATCTCTCATGAAGGTACTAAGCAAAAGGGACGCCAGCACGAAGCAGAGACTCTGACGCTACTGCCGTCTGACTGGGGGCCACCTCCATGCGACAATAAGCTGTTTATCACGCCCGGCACACCCCCAGGAGCTGAAGATCGAGGACTTCCTCCGGGAAGCTCGCTTGGAAGATTTGTGGACCTCGCTGGCGCGGAGCTCAGATGTCTGCGGCAGAACAAACGCCGCCCCCCGTCCCTTGAAGCCCTAAACTTCCCTCCCCCTAGACACAGAAACCATGAGGAAGAACCTCAAGAGACCCCAAAACCTCCTTGGTGAGCCTTGACCGAGACTGCTTCCCCAGGATCAGACCTTGGATCGCCTGCACGACACGGAGGCGCCACTGGCAAGAGAACTGCCCTGCTTTGGTCTAGGGCTTCGTTTAGGGTTTAGGGTTTAGGGTTTAGGGTTTAGGACATGAGGGTCAAGGGTCTTGTGCTGTGTGGGCCCTGCAGTCGCTGAAGGCTTCCGGCATTAGAGTGTTCAGGGTGTCGGGTCTGGCTTTTGGGTGGCCGGTGTTTGTTGTGCTTTCTCTTACAGGGGCTTGGCCGCATCGCTCTCCTCCTCTTGCAGCTCAGGGTTTTTCTGGTGCTCGGCCACTTCGGGCGGTTCCTTTAAGCTGGGGGGATTCTTTGATATTCTTGGAATTTATTTTATGAACACCCCCCATGACGAGAGGAGACGAGAGGAGTCCATGTTCTCCAGCCCCTCAAGTCATGGGCCCCTCTAGTCCCCATGAACAGAGGCCAGCCCTCCCCCGAACTGGTGTACTCAATGAATCCGAAACCCCAAACCCGAACTCCTGAAATCCTAAAATCCCTACATCCCTAAACCCCTGACTTCCCTAAACCCTGGTTGCTAAGAGCTCAGGGCATCTTGCAAGCCCCAGCTCCCCGATGCCGATGCAGTGCAGAGGTGTTTGCCACGCCGGCGCAGCGCATCCTTTCCACCGGGGCCAATTGCCTGCGAGCTTGTGGGTTTTTAGGGGGTTTTAAGGGGTTTTGAAGGGGTTTTGAAGGGGTTCAAGGGGTTTGAGGGGGATTTAGGGGGTTTAAGGGGTTTAAGGGGCTTTAGGGATTTAAGAGGGGTTTAAGGGGCTTTAGGGTTTAAGGGTTTCTTAAGGGGTTTTAAGGGGGGTTGAAGAGTTCAAGGGGTTTAAGGGGTTTAGAGCTTAGGGTCTAGGCTTTGCAAACTCGGACCAGAGATGTTTTGGGGGTTTGCGCGAAGCTCATTTTACAGTCAAGATCACCCTGAGGCCTTACTTCCCTACAATCGGAGGCACGTTCAAAGATCCTGAAGAGGGCACCGCAACCCTACACCCTAAACTCTCTAAACCCTAAACCCCAAACTCTCTAAACCCTAAACCCTAAACCCTAAACCCTAAACCCTAAACCCTAAACCCTAAACCCTAAACCCTAAACCCTAAACCCTAAACCCTAAACCCTAAACCCTAAACCCTGAACCGCTGGTGCTGGGTGCCCCAGAGTGCCTTCCTTCCCGAAGCCCCTGAGCACCAGCACGCCGGGCGCACGCCAGGTCGCCCCGTCGCAGCTGCGGATCGAGAGCTCGGGCTCCACGAACATGAGCCGGGGGGCCTGGGATTGCTCAGGGTTTAGGGTTTAGGGTTTAGGGTTTAGGGTTTAGGGTGTAGGGTTTAGGGTTTAGGGTTAGGGTTTATTCTGGGGAAGTTGAGAGGTTTGAGGAGTTGGGGGCCCTCGGATTGTTCGGAGGGGCTTCGGATTCTTTAGGGTTTTTTTGGTGTGATGAAGGTTCATGGTTATTAGTAATTCTTGAGGGGTTTCGGATTGTTTGGGGGTTTAGGGTTTAAGGTTCATGGTTATTAGTTATTAGTAAGTAAATTACTGAGGAGTTTGAGGAGTTTGTCACGGGGTTCAATTAATTAGCGGTTTCTGCTTGGGCTTCTTGTGTCCGCTTCTGTTTTTTTTTGGTAAGTGTTTAGGGCGTTCAAGGGTGTCAAGGTGTGTTTAGGGTTTCAGGGTCAGAGGCTTAGGTGGGCTACGGGGTTCCCAGTTGCGATCTTCCTTCTTACAGTCACAGTCTCTTCAGTGCGTTTGTGCCTTTCACGGATGCTCTATATATGAATGTGCATGCTAGTATTCCTTGCGTGTTGCTGCTAGATCCGTCGCAAAGTTACAAGTGAGTTGCCGCAAGGGCCTTAGGGTTTCGGGCGGAGGGTTGCTGCGACGTGCTCCGGCTTACGTTAGGTTGGAATGGAGGAATAACAAACCTACACAGTAGCAGTTCAGGTGCCACTTTCAGAGGACTCATTCTACCCCACCTGCCTTAAGATCCCAAGCTCCCGTGGCTGTTGACTTTCCGACCCACCAGCACCCCCGAACTACCCTTTAACCCTTATAGTGGGGTCTAGTATATAAGCCCCCTTTATTTCAAGGGTACTTGAGTGAAGCGAGATGCGGAAGAAGCTGCTGAGGTGGTACCCTGCCCTCCAACGTTCAGACCACGCCGCCGAAGCCGCTGCTCAACAGGTGGGGGGGGGGGGGGGGGGGGGGCCTAGGGTTGTGAATTGGGCGTAGGTTTCACCAGCAGCTGTTCAAATGGGGATCACGTTGCATGATCTGGATGGTCGGCTTCATGGAAAAAGCGAAGCTCTGAAAGCCGACGCTAAGTACCCTAAACCCTAAACCCTAAACCCTAAACCCTAAACCCTAAACCCTAAACCCTAAACCCTAAACCCTAAACCCTAAACCCTAAACCCTAAACCCTAAACCCTAAACCCTAAACCCTAATACCCTAAACCCTAAACCCTAAACCCTAAACCCTAAACCCTAAACCCTAAACCCTAAACCCTAAACCCTAAACCCTAAACCCTAAACCCTAAACCCTAAACCCTAAACCCTAAACCCTCAAGAATATTTCCTGCAGAGGCTGCTCCCCTTGATCGAGGCACGCGCTTCGGTACTTGCAGCCAGGGTTTGGCCTGTTGTGTTGTTTAAAATTTTCACATCTTTGTGTCCCTTTTAGGGTTGACGGTTGGGATGTTCCTGTGCTTTTTTTGGGTAATCGGGGCGATTCAGTGCTGTGTGACATGTGTGCCGAAAGTAGAAGCGACGTTACAGGTCCACTAGTCGGCGGAGTGAGGGGGTGGGTGGATTACATTCCCAGAAAACCAAAAAAGCACTGTTGAAGTCTATACCCTCGCCCATAAGACTCACTTTGTGTCACTTCTTGTCGAACGTATGTGACCACCTGTAAACTCAAAGTCCCCTTCCATTCACATCAGGCTTTCTTCGTGCTGCACAACGGCTCCAAAGAAGCTGACATGGAAGCCAAGGCGAGAAAGGAATGTCATGAATACACCTTAATATACTTATGGCATCTTATGGAAGTTAAGGAGAACAATAGAGTTTATGTGGGTGGGAGGTAGTCATATGGGCTTATGAGAGGAGAGTTCTACTCTCCTATTCTGACGAAATGCGCTGAGTGCCTCCGAGTAGTCCTTGTGTCCCGGGTGTGCTCAGTCAAGCAAGGCAAGGAACGAAAGGGGATTTCTACATGCCTTATAGTGACTACTATACTTGAGTAGTTCCAAAAGATGCATAACCCTACACCCTACACCCTACACCCTACACCCTACACCCTACACCCTACACCCTACACCCTACACCCTACACCCTAAACCCTAAACCCTAAACCCTAAACCCTAAGCCCTAAGCCCTAAAGCCCTAAGCCAATAGTAGGAATCCATCCCTTCATGCCCTACAAAGCACCAGAAGGGCCTCCTGGAAGTAGCGTTCGTCACTTCAAGGAGCGGCAGAAGGACCATGAGCAGGAGGCCGCGGTCAGTTTGGGGTTCGGGAATTAGGGTTTTAGGGTTTTAGGGTTTTAGGGTTTTAGGGTTTTAGGGTTTTAGGGTTTTAGGGTTTTAGGGTTTTAGGGTTTAGGGTTTATATAGGGTTTGGGGTTTAGGGTTCAGGGTTTAGTGTTTAGGGTGTGGGAATTCGGATGTCGGGTCTATGAAGTAAGTAGGATTCAGGAAGTAGGGCTTCGGGTGTATGGCCAGGGCTGCGGCCGCAGGCTGCATTCTTGGCCATTTTGCAGCAGGGCGCGTACCTCATGATAGGGAGTCGATAACATTGCAAAATCAAGGCCCCTATTGCTGTAGTTCATGTGAGAAGGCGCATGTCTGTTAAATTCCCTTGCCTGAGAGCCCCTTTTTCAGCATTCCGTACAAACTTAGGGATACTTGGAAACAAATTGTAATCTTTGGGTACTGTAGTTCCTAAGAAACAGCTAGAATTTGAAACAGATTGCTAGGGTTCCAAGTTCAGTATAGCAAAGGGAAACGCTTTGTCCGGCACTTGGGCGGCCGCCTGTTTTCCGGCAGGCATATCCTAAAGCCCTGAACCCACAAACCCAAAAAGCCAAGCAAAAGCTTAAACCCTAAACCCTAAACCCTAAACCCTAAACCCTAAACCCTAAACCCTAAACCCTAAACCCTAAACCCTAAACCCTAAACCCTAAACCCCGAAACCCTAAAGCCCTAAAGCCCTAAAAACCCCCAAGACCCCAAAAGCCCAAAAGCCCAGAAGCCTCTGACCCCTCTCAACTATGGCCCAGGGCGGTTCCTCCTCGAGCTGCCCGGGGAAGCAGGTCTTTGCGGATCTTATCGAGGCACCCGGCCATGGTGAGGGTTTAGGGTTTAGGGTTTAGGGTTTAGGGTTTAGGGTTTAGGGTTTAGGGTTTAGGGTTTAGGGTTTAGGGTTTAGGGTTTAGGGTTTAGGGTTTAGGGTTTAGGGTTTAGGGCCTAAAGGGTTTAGGGGCCTTAAAAATTGGAGAAGGGTGTTTGGGGGGGGGAGGGGGGCGGGGGGCGGGGGTTATTAGAATATATTTGTTTAGGAACCAGTATTCCGACCCCAAAATTCGGGGTTTTCCAGGATGCAGGGGTTCACGTCTGCGCAGACCTATGTCCTGAAATCATCGCGATTCGCACTGCAAACCCGAAACGCGAAACCATCGGCTTTAGGATGGTTATTTGGGGTGATGAATTTTGTGGGAAGGTCAAAAATGCCTCATGCCTCACGATTCGGGTGCATTCCTGAGTAAGTCGTGTAGCTTTTACGATTTTGATCGGTTGTTGCCTTACCTGTGGCGTCCTGCTGCTTATTTGCACTCCCAATCTAGTCTTTCCTGTTTTGAGGTTTCCTATCAAGGTCGTTTCAGCCGTGGGTGCTTTGATCTTCAATGACTTATGATGTTTGGGTTTGGCTGGAGATCCAACGGATGTGCCTGGTTTTGTTTCGACTAGTTCGTCTTTTGGGAGTTTAAGGTTGGGATTTTCCCCCTTGTCCCAGCAGTCCCTACGAGGGATTATGATTATACTAGGGGGTACTCTAATCCCTATCAAGGACTGTTAGGCATAAGAGGGGCCGGGTTGGTTTCACTCAAGTGTGGAAACCTGATGAGCATGCCTCGCCTGGAGAGAACCCTGACCCCTTTTAGGGTTTAGGGTTTAGGGTTTAGGGTTTAGGGTTTAGGGTTTAGGGTTTAGGGTTTAGGGTTTAGGGTTTAGGGGGGGAAGCACGATCGCCTATGGACCCGAATTCTCAAAGCCTGTGATCACCCTGAAGCCCGAAGCCGTAAGCCATCCTCAAGCCCTAAACTCCCACACCCGAAGCCCTACACTCCTAGTAGTCACTCCAGTAGAGTTAGTAGAGTAAAAGCTCCTAAACCACAGACCCCCCACATTTGGAAACACTGAGGCTGGTGGCCTCCGCCATAAATTTAGACCCGAAGCCCTAAGTTTCCAAACTTAGACCCTAAACGCAAGCGACAGCGACCCGTGCCCTGTGCAGGTGACTCTGGTGGAAAGGAGTCGTTTCGGCCAGCCCGGCGCCCGAAGGGGTTTAGAGTTTAGGGTTTAGGAGGCTCTCTTGTCTTGGTAAAGGGGTTTAGGTTTAGGGCTAATTATAGATCCCGTCTTTGGGGTTAGCCTCCTGCTGAGGCCACGTACAAGTTCCGTTATAAGAGCCACAAGTCTTAATCCCGCGGCTCTTGTTTTTGCATCGAATTAGGGGGTGGAAGGGGCACGGTTCATTTTGGTTAGCATGTCCCTTTTTGCGCGGTCAGAGGCTTGCACATGGTTTGCAACATCCAAGGTTCTGCAAGCAGCACCGGCGCCCTCTGAACGTGCGAACCTCGGAGGCTGTCACAGGAGGCTCCGAGATGCTGTGCACATCCCCCGAACAGGCGTTGATCAAGCAGACCCCCTCGCTGCTGAGCAAGTCCTTCTCGTCAGTGCCGCTTGGCTTGGCAACACAAGAGAGCTCAATCCTAAACCCTAAACCCTGAAACCCGAATCCGAAACGCCCAAACTTTAAAGCCCCCAAACCAGCACTCACCCCCTGTGAAACCTCCACATCCTACGCCCTAAAGCCCCAAACCCTCTCCCCCAAACCCCATACACGCAAACCCTAGCGATGTGAGGCCTGTGCCCCGATGTCTAAACCTTGGAACACCCAACCCCAGCTGCCGCCAACTGTAGCTCGAAATACTGAGCCTTAGGTCAAGCCGACACTGCAAAATTAGGGGTTTAGGATTTAGGGTTTCGCTTTTTTTGGGTTTGGGGTTTAGGGTTGAAGGGTTTAGGGTTAGGATTCTACGACTTAAGGTCCTGGGACTCTGCAAAAATGCAGCAGTGCTTGGGGGGCTGCATGCGCCCCCCAAGCTTCCCTAAGCCTTCAAAAACCCGATGCCCTCAAGCCGCAGGTTGAAGCACATGCCGCACTGCCTGGACTTCGACAACAAGAGGGCCTACTTCCGATCCCAACTCAGGCGCTCCCAGCGGCATTTTCATGAGGCTCAGGGAGCTTCAGGGAGCCTAGGCTCCTTCTTTCTTGTGTTTTTTCATTTTTCTCACTTTGGGCCCTTTCGGGCCGTTGAGGGTTTTGAGTTGTTTGTGTTTTTTCGTGTTTTGGGAGCCTTATTGGGCGGAGCTTCGAGTTGAAGGGGCTCAGCACTCGGCTTATGGAGCTTAGGGAGAGATTAGGGGGGCCCGACGGGTTTAACAGTTAGGTTCGGCTCTGTAGGGTTTAGGGGTTTAGAGGGTTCAGGGTCGAGTGTTGAGAGGTTTAGAGGTTTGGAGGGTTCGGGGTGTAGAAACACACACTTCTGCCAGGAACTTAGCCCCTAAACCGGCCCTAAACCCCAACTTCCACGCCCTAAGCCCTAAAGTCTCAGCGCCTCAACCCTAAAAGCAGAAGCTGGCGGCCCAAGATGTGCGCAGTGCTGTAGTCAACTCCGAAGGTGCAGCTCCTTAGTACTGCTCACTCGATAGGAGCTTCCTAGGACCGGGAGTAGGCCCCTTTTTCCTTTCTTTAGGGTTGGGGTTCCCTTATCACCCCCTTTTAAACCAGAAAGGGTACCCTTTTTTCCTGGTTACGCAGCAGGGGCACTAAACAAAAAGCCCGAAATGGCACTGAAAAGACAGTGTTCGTTTGAACAAGATGCTGCCGAGTGTCCCAGAAGGCTCAGAAGGCTGGAGAAGGCTGGTGTGTGTCTCTTCGCCAGGTCGAGAAGGATGGAGAGCCGCTATGAGACCATTCGACTTCGCGTGAGGCCAACCCTGAGTTAGGGTTTAGGGTTGAGGGTTTGGGGTGAAGGGTTTAGGGTTTAGGGTCCAAAGCCCTCCAGTTGCTTTGAGGGGTCTCACAATGGATGATGGCCCTTGGAGGCCCAAGAAGCCTGGATAGTATCTCGTAGTGGACCACGTACACACTGATGTTCCTAAGCTTTTTTTCCGTTTGACTACAATGTCTATGACGTGTTTTCACAGCATGTGGAGCAAGAAAGCTTTGGGTGCTTTCAAAGCCACAAGACACCTGTACCTGCCCAGGCGGTCCGAGATCTTCATGGACTCGTACCACCAGTTGCCCCGGCCTTGGTACCGATGGGTGCCCTTCTTCAGTCATTTTTTGTCTGGGGTTTAGGGTTTAGGGTTTAGGGCTTTGGGCCCAAGACATGGTGCTGGCTTGGATAGGGTGTAGGCCGGCCAGAACTGGCTTGAGGGTGCCATGCCCTGAGGCTCCTTCCGCTGAATGAAGGTATACCTATTGCAGCCTCTATATAGTTCCCTACATTGATCTCCGTTGAGGAGTTCCCTGATGAAGTTCTGTAGGTTCATATGCAACCCTTCTACCGCTAGCCGTGTATAACGTTCTTTGTAACATTGTAGTCACCATACTAGCCTTATGCAATACAATCGCCATATACAGTCCTGTACATGCCTTGAGTAGTGTAGTTCCATATATTGGGATAGTAGCCCGTATGCAACTCCTAGTTTACTCTCCTATTTTCCTGTTCCTGATGCGGGCTTTCTTCCCTCGGCGCTCTTTCAGGAGAAGCAGAACCGGCGAAGAGATGCGGGCAAAGATTCAGGCGGGCAGGATTCCACAGGAGTGCTTCACGTTCTTCGGCCGTGACAGCCGGCATGCCGAGGTGAATTATCTAAACCCCCAAAGCCTAAAACCCCCAAAGCCTCAAATCCTCAAACCCTGAATTCCCTGACCCCCCAAAGCCTAAACCCCCCAAAACCCTCAACTCCTCCCTGAAACCCTGAATTCCCTACAACTGAAACCCTTACTTCGAGTCTAAAACAAAACCGCAACGGTCTTCACCACGACGCGTGGGTGTCTGCAGAAGCTGAGCAGGTACAGTTCCAAGGAGAGGAAGGCTCTGGGGCTCGGGGGTTCCTGTGCTTGGAAGAAAGGGTAGAGTTTAGGGTCTAGGGTTTGCAGATGTGGTAAGTAGGTTATAAATGCTCCGATTTGGGTGGTCCTGCTTCCACGATACAAAGCCCCTTGCTTGGAGTCGATGTTCATGTCGCCGAATTCATGGAAGGTCCCATGCTTGGACAGGAATGGGCGGAATGAATCCCTACGACTCGATGATCCTCCGTTGAATGTCCAGGATAGTCTAGAAAGTTCTTTGCGGCCCAGGAAATTAGCCCCTAATTTGCCGCCGTATAGACATCGCATCATCGTCACCCACCCCCCCCCCCCACGTCAGCCTGAGTGAAAAACGGAAAAGTTCCCCAGCGAGGGACGAGCTCTCTGGATGGACTTGCAAGCACAAACGGCGCACAGCGAGTTTTCGCGGTTGCTTCCTTGAAGTAACCTGAAACCTTAACCCTAAACCCTAAACCGTAAACCCTAAGCCCTAAACCCTAAGCCCTAAACCGTAAACCCTAAACCCTAAACCCTGAACCCTGAACCCTAAACCCCAAACGGCGTACACCCTAAATCCCAAACTGGCAGACTGGGGGCAGGTATCGATGCCGGCGGCGTCGGGAAGGCCCCCTTGTGGCATTTCTTCGCCCCTTGAGACCTCCTAAGACTTTTCACAGCTTCAGGGGCCTAATTGGGGCCTTGGGGTTTAGGGTTGGAGGCTTAGGCCTTGGTGAAGGTGAGGGGTATAAGGAATTTTTTTGCCGTAGAGCGTGATCTGAAGCCTTATGCGTTTGTGAAATGTTGCAGTGGCAGGAATGGTATGGGGCTTTGGCCAAAGAGATCTTCAACCCCAACTATGCCCGGAGCCTACAGCGGACGAATGGATGTCTGCCAGCTTCTTGTCGGACTGAGGAGACTTTGCTGCTTGAATTTCAGACTAGTGGAACGATGGCTCTTAGCCCCAGCAAGCACCAAGCGTTCGGGAGTCAAGGCACTTTCCAGCTACTAGGGCCTAGGGAGTTTGAGGTTGTTAGTGCAGTGTAGTTGAGTGTACAGAGGGTTTAGGGTTGGTACGCTTTTTGGGGGTTGAGTTGAGTAGTTCCGGGTGTGGGGAGTTTGGGGCCTGAGCGGACTTCGGTCAGCGCCTCGGTGCATTTCACACTGCTTCCCTAGACCCTCAGAGCCGAAAGTCAGAGTCAAGAAAAGGCTTAAAGCAGCTTGACTTCTTTCAGGCCCTCTTCGTCCAGGCCGGTGGAAAAGCTTGCACGTATCACCCCAACCCAATGCCGGCACCTCAGCTGCCCAGCTGCCTCCGAAAGCTGCGGAGGAAGGGATACGGGATGATCAGGGGATAAGGGCTGCAAAGGGGCCACCTCATGGCGTACCGCCACAACAAGGAAGACCGCCATTAACGGGTGGCCTAAGAAATACAAGGGTATGGTATGATGTACAGTGCTTAGGGCTTAGGACTTGGGTTCGGGGATTGGTGTTCTCAGCGTCAACCATTACGTAGATTGCAGAGCAGTGCGTGTAGAGCTCCCCGTTCAAAGCAGCGCTCCCCGCGCAGTGATGCACATCCTGACAGCACTGCAGCGTACTGCAGCCTAAACTCCAAACCCTAAACGTTGCAAACTCCGGAAGCCCTGCACCATGACGAAGCTCCAAAAGCCCTGAAGCCCTGAAGCCAAAAACCATGAACGCTGGGCCATGAAGCGCCTCAGGTCGTACGTAACAAGAGATCACCTCGATTTCTTCCACTTCATTGGGCGGGTGATCGGAAAAGCGATCCACGACGCCCAAAACCTGGAGGCCGCGGGCTTAGAACTCAAGGTTTCGGGCTTCGGGTTGAGGGTGCAGTATTTAGGGTTCAGGGTTCAGGTGCTGCTCTGGGCCGCAGTTCGGATGTTTGGGATGTCGGGCCGAGCCATTCAAGTAACACAGGTGCCCTATTACATAATGATCACCACTAACTATCGCCCTCCATTACGTATTATTGATGTGACTGGAATACTATACTCTGCCCCAAAGCCATGTTCTAATTAGGCCTTGATGGGAGTAGCCTTCGCGCTCGAGATGGTCAGGGCTTGGAACCCGGGTTAAGTTGCCGGGACTGCTCCCTCGAGTGAAGGTACTTAGGGGCCCAGTAACCCCTACACCCGACACCCTAAACCCTAATTACACGCTGCACCCTAAACCCTTTGGGCCCTCTAAGCACCAAGCCTTAAATCCAGCTTCATACCCTTAAGCCACACTGCAGGCCTGGTTTACCCGCGGCTTCTACAAGCACATGCTGGGTAAAAAGGCCGGCCGTAGTGCTTGCGGATGTCAGGGATTTTAAGCAGGGATCCCTGTTCCAAGAGGGCCTGTTTGCCAGCTTAGATAAGAGTTGTTCTGTGAGTGTCGCTACTGTAGCATGAGTTTGGGTCCCTTCTTGTGATCATGGTTATATGCAGCGGACGAGGGTCGGCGCTGAATGCGCCACTGCCTTTCCCTACGTGTCCCCCGACACGTGCTGCACCTCCAGCGCAGCACCTGCGCAGCAAACACCGGGCTAAGTCTCAGAGGGAACGATGACCATGTGCTGCAATGTCTTGTGTGACGGTTTGATTCCCTTTTCGCCAGACATTTCCTTCCGTCGCTCGCCTTGGATTTGGGCCCTGTGCATGCAGCAGGTGCATGTGTACGGTACCAGAAGGATTACCTTGTGTTGTTGTCACGGCGCCCCCGTGCATTCGATTGCTCCGCCATCCGACTTCAACATCTTCCCAGAATACGAGGTGCCCCAAAACGGGAGCCTCCGAAACCCGGGTACTGGTGCCCTAGAGCTACGGAGTGCTGCTTGTGATCTATTCAATTCCTCCTCTGCGCTTGAAGTGCTTCTTTTTGGCAACTGAACCCGGAGCACCGCACCGAGCTACTCAAATGTGATCCCTGTGGTGCTTAGTGAGGAATAGAGGAATGTAATACTGGGGACCACCTCCAGCGATACCAGCTAAATGCGGATAAGTACAGGTAGTGTAAGGATCAATATCGAGGTCATCGCCTTCTGAGCTCCAAGCCTGATAAACCCCTTAAGCTATGACCCCCCCCCCATTAAAAAAAGAGAAGAAAGAGAAAAGTGAAAAGACATTGTAACTCCAACAAACGAACGCCTTCGCTATCCTTTACTATATTCTGTGTTGCGCTGGCTTCAGGTCATCGCTGCAGATCTCGAGGCCTTCGACCCGGAATACTTCTCCAACCTCAAGTGGATGCTGGAGCACGCCAGGGGCCTCAGCAGGGTAGTGATCACGAAAAAGTGATTCACAAAACATGAGTTTTGCGTCCGCAAATGGGCACCGGTTATGTTCTGGCAAGGATTGCTATCATGTCACCAAAAGGAAACGCTTCCATACCCAGCGTCGTCGTCGTCGTCGTCGTCGTCGTCGTCGTCGTCGTCGTCGGGTTTCGTATCGGACCTAGCATCCACTTAGACGTTAGCTCCTTACTCCTGTTAGGCTTCGAGCGAAAGCAGCCGGGTTGAAGACAGCCCACCGCTGCCGCTGTGGAGACCGCCCCCCCATGCCCCCCCCACCACCCCCACCCAGACGCCCCCCTGTATGAAAGATGTGGGCGTGCGTGATTCCTTTTGCTTGTCGATCCGGCAGGGGAGAAACCCCAAACCCACCCCCCACCCATCCTTTCTTCTTCTTCTTCCCAAGCTGCTCTTCTGAGGACATCACCGACATCGTTGAGCTCTACTTCTGCGCGGAGAGCGACGATTTTGGCCAGATCAAGGTCGGCCGTAGCCCTTGCCAAGGATGGCCCTAATAGGGTTCAGGAAGTTCAGGGTGTAGGGCTTTTCGGGGTTTAGGCTGGTGTAGCTTTAGGGTTTGAGGGCTTTGGGGCTTGACGGTTCAGGTATTGGGGCTTTTAGGGTGTAGGCTTCAGGCTTGTAGGGTTTAGAGTTTCGGGAGTCTGGTGTAGCTAGGGCCAGGGCTGTTTTTCTATTTAGGGTTTTGATGGGTTCATGGGGGTTGTGCCTTGCAGCTGTTGCGGGATTCGGGGCTGAGGGTACTAGGTCTTTTTTGGAAGAGCCTTAAATTGTAGACTCTAAATATATCACTGTGCCATCTGGGTTTTCGGACTTCTGTTCGTCTTAGAAGCTTTTTCAGAGCATCGGCTGCCAGGTCGTCGACCTGAAGCCGAATGGGCGGAGCATGATGCTCGCCTGCAAGTAGGGGTTCATGAACTCATGGGTTCAGGCTTCAGGGTTTAGGAGTTTAGGGCTTAGTGACGTCGCAGTGATGGGCTTGAAAGCGCGTTGAGGGGTGTAGGGTTTAGGGGGGATTAGAAGTGCTACTTTATCTCCTTGCTGCTCAGTAGGGTCTGATTGTGTCCCTTCGTAGTCCCTTTGTAGTTCCGTGTACGTACAGGGGGGTTTATTGTCAGCAAGAGTACCGGCAACGGCAGCAAGATCTGCTTGATCTGCTTGAGATGAGGACGGGGCGCTACGCATGACCGAGAACCCTCAGCTTGTAAACCTCAAACTCCCTAAGCGGCACGTCGCTCAAAACGCCTAAACCTAAAAGAGAGTGAGAACAAGCAAAGAGCCCGAAATGTGTGTTTGTGCCGAGTCCCGTGACCAACGACAACAAGTACGAGTACATCCAGCTCATGTCGGAGCACAAGATGCCGGGGCCCTGGGTGCTGCTCTTGGCGACTATGGTGTGCATTGTGATGATGATGATGATGATGATGGTGATGATGATGATGATGGTCATGGTCATGAGCATGATGATGTTTTCATGGTCATGATGGGTAGCAGGCTTAACTTTGATTGAGTGCTTGTTGATTCAGGAGCTTGAGTTCTTCAGTTGCGATAAGATGAAGATGTAAACCACGTGGTTTCCTTGTCATGCTGATTGAAGTTCAAGATCTTCGAAGGAGGATACATCGGAGCGTCGCATGATGTGGGGGGGGGGGGCTTTTTCGTGCGAAGCCCATCCTAGAGAAACAAGAGTTCGCCAAGTTGCGAGAGTCTAAACGGAGCTGTTTGCTCGACGGCTCCCCCTGAAGGATGTCATTCCTTCAGGATGGCATGTCTATGCGTGCTCAGGACAAACTCTGTCCGACAACAGATCGATGCCTTCCTGAAAGGCCAAAGCTTTTGTTTGGTTCTTTGGTTTTGGGCGTAGGGCCTGTAGGGTTGGTTCAAGGCGGAGGCTTCTTGATTCACGGCCACAGCGTGATGCAGGGATCAGGCTTGCTTTAAGGCTCAGCTCTGGGGCTCAGAGATCCCTACTTCCGTGCGGTGGTCCAAAAGGTCCCATCCTGTCAATTTGGGCTCCAAGCACTGTAGGGTGCCGTGTCATTCATGCTGGTGCGTGCATTCTGGTCCCGGATGTGGGGGGGGGGGGGGCCCTGGCGGCGAACAACCGCAGAGATTGTTCTGCCAAGATGCCCGGCTCTGTGAAGGCCTGCACGAGATCGTTCCGCCCGAGCTGCTGTCCCTCTTTGATGACGCCCTGGCTTGTGTTTAGTTTAGGGTTTCACGGAGTGTTTGCTGCGTAGGGGTTGGGGTATCCATAAATGGAGATGATGCATTGGTTTCTTTTTGTCATTTCATCGATCCTTCCGCCAAATTTGAAAGCCCCCTCTTCGACCACAGGCCCTACACCCTAGATCCTATGCTGAACCAGTCCGACGGAAAACCCCACGGCGAGAACCCAAAACCCTTGTCCTGAAACTTCCCAAGCCCTCATGTTGATATTCCCTAAACCTGAAGCCGCAAGTCCGAAACCCCTTTCGTAATTTGGGATGTTCCCCCTTATACTAACAGTCCTTAAAAGGGGAAGTTGTACCCCCGATTAGAATCCAGGATGTTGGTACAAGGGGGAACATCCCAACTTTCAATCCCTAAGCCCCAAACCCTGCGCCTCCAGCTCTAGGCCCTTATCCTCGAGCCTGAGACTCGAGACCCTAGATGAACTCAAAACCCTAAACCTGCCAACATCCGTAAGCCCCAAGTCTTGCGGCACACCAGCAGATAGAAAGTTGTTGTTGAGGATTCTTTTCAGGGGTTTGAGAGGAGTTCGGCCAAGTTATCCGAGCAGGACAGATAGATTGTTTTGAGGCTTTTCGAGTTTTGTTTTGTAAGAAGCAGTGCAGAATTTGCGCGAGCGCTGCAGATTGCTGTTTGTTCCTAAGAGTGTTGTAGGTTTAGGGGCAGTCCTTCATGACAGCGTCTCAAAGCCCATCGAGATAAAAGTCTATGACCTCTCCTAAACTCTGAGAACCCCGACTTGAAAATGAAAGAACATGATTCAACGGCTCCATGGAACTCTGTCAACTACAAACCCTACACCACCCTTCAGCACTCTTTAAGAACCAGAACCTAGCCAAGCAAACCCTTCTCGACCCAGACGCAGTGATTCTTGAAGGGTTCGATGGAGTGCTAGGGGTTTTGACGGGCTTTGAACTCTTTGCGCGCCCCCAACATCTCGAAGCCCTTAAACCCCCTAGACCCGAAACCCTAGACACCGGGGCCTAAGCCGTGGAATTCAAAACCAAGGCAGACCCAAAATAAGCAAAATACTCGCCCAAAGGACCTTCAACCTAAAAAACTCCAAACCCGCGGTCATGAACCCTAAACCCAAAGCTGAGGACAAGGAGCTCGAGCTTCTGATTTCAGGGCTCCCAGACATCGATATCGACGTGAGGGCCTCTCACAATGGGGGGGCTGCATGGGGCCGTAGAGACTAGATATTTCGAGTTTAAAGTTGAGAGTTGAGCTCAAGTTTACTAGCGTTTGAGGTGTAGGGTAAGTCGGTTCGAGTGTGCTCAAGTCGTGGTGAGCCTACTTACAAGCACTTGTGACACGCCTGCGGAGCCTCTCTGACCATACGCCCTAACTGCCAAAACCCCAAACAGTTTCTGGACTAACCCTGAAGCCTAAACTGGGCAGCCTGCTACGGCTGACCGAAACCCTCAGCCCTAAATCAGCTTAAATCTGGTAGCTTCTAGCTCAATCCTCTCGCGCTTTGGCAGTTGGGCAGCTCAACTGCAGGGCTCAACCCTCTGTCGCCCAACCCCTCAGGGGCCATAAAGCCAAAAGAAGCAGTGGACTCATGCGATGTACTTTGGGTTTCTTCGGATGTCGGGTTTAGGCTTTGGGGGCTTAAGGCTTAGCGCAGTAGCTCATCAATAGACTGCTAGTACAGCTGCATGTTGTGGGTTTTTTTTTTGCTTTGGGTCCCAACGCCTTTTCGCAGGCCTCTCGAATTCAGATCCCTGGCCTACAGGCCTACAGTAGTGCAGTAGTGCCCGGCGCTGGCCCAGGACCTCAAGGCCAACACCGAATATCACAACTACACCGCACAGACCTGGCCTTACCTCTTGGAGCTCTCTTGGATATGTGTGGCTTTTGGGTGGGCTTTTTTCGGGTTGAAGACGTAGGGCTGAAGGTTTGACAGGGTGTGGGCACGGTGTAGGCTTGCTGCACAAGCACACCTTGTGGTGCTTGGACTTATCTTGGAGCCTTCCTCGCAAAAAACGGGTGTCTCCGTCGCAGCCCATGGTGCCCATGGTAATTATTGCTCTCTGGTTGGGGGAATCAGGCTAGGAGGTAGAACCCTACAGCAGGGCTCCCCAAAACAGCCCCCGCAAGGGGAGTCACGGCCCGAAAGCACGACTGCGAAGTTGTTCTTCGCAGTTTCCGGTTGTCGGGCTTACGGATTTGGATGCTGGGCTTTTTCAGCTTGAGGATATTTGTGTTCTTGGGCCCAGCTGTCGACAAGGTCAGACCAGATCCAGTGGTCGGCGGCTCAGGATTCAGAGATCTCCGCTCGACTCACGTTCCCCTCAAAAGGGGTGTGTTGAATTTAGGCTGATCTACCGTCCCACCCCTTTAAAGACTTCCTCTACACGCGCTTCCCCCCCCCCCCCCCCCTCCCTCTACACCCCGTTAAGGAACGGTGCTTTGCAGGAAACCTCCCAAAACCCCGGCCCCAAACCCTTGTAAAGGGACGGCGCCTTGTACCATCACAACAGTCATTAGGACTAACAGCAGGATAACTTAGAGGTACATGTATCAGACTGGGGACCGTCGAAATTGCAGCCCCAAAAACATTTCTGTGGTAGGAACCACATGGTCAGTACTCAAAATGATGGTCCCTTTTCTGGGCACCCCAAATACGAGGGGGCCAAAAACCCTAACCCTAACCCTAAACCCTAAACCCTAAACCCTAAACCCTAAACCCTAAACCCTAAACCCTAAACCCTAAACCCTGAACCCTGAACCCTGAACCCTGAACCCTGAACCCTGAACCCTGAACCCTGAACCCTGAACCCTGAACCCTGAACCCTGAACCCTGAACCCTGAACCCTGAACCCTAAACCCTAAACCCTAAACCCTAAACCCTAAACCCTAAACCCTAAACCCTCTTGGGCTGAGGTTCTGGAAGGTGCTGAGCGAGTTCAGCCAGGAACAGCGCGCATGGCCGGGACCCCCGCTTTGGAGTTTAGGGTTGCAGATTTTAGGATTTGGGGTTTAGAGTTTAGGGTTTAGGGTTTAGGGTTTAGGGGTTTAAGGTATCCCTGAACCCTCGGTTGGGGTTTTGGCGCATGCCCGTGCTCTACCGGAGACAGGAGCCCCAAACGGGGATAATACACTCCCTCAACTAATCAGAGACTTTTGCAGGGCTTATGTACTTGCTCCCTACAGAGTCCCGTGCCAGAGGCACGGATAGTTCTGGATTCAATGCATTATAAAGATGGCGCAATGAGGCAAGTACAGATGAGAGGGCCATAAAGGGGCCCTTTCTGCACTGTGGCGGTCGACCCTAAACCCTAAACCCTAAACCCTAAAACCTAAACCCGGAGGGCAGCTGGCAGAGCCACGCTAGTAAGGTTCCTTCAGTTCGCGACCGGGACCTCCCGCGTGCCGGTCGAGGGCTTCAAGGCCGCTCGCGTGGTCCCTTCTTGCAAGTAGTGCTAGAAGTCGTAGTAGTTACTACTGTAGTATTATTCTTTTGATTCTTCTTCTTATTATTATTAGTATTATTATTATTATTATTATTATTATTATCATTATTATTAGTATTAGCATTAGTAGTAGTAGTAGTAGTAGTAGTAGTAGTAGTAGTAGTAGTAGTAGTAGTAGTAGTAGTAGTAGTAGTAGTAGTAGTAGTAGTAGTAGTAGTAGTAGTAGTAGTAGTAGTAGTAGTAGTAGTAGTAGTAGTAGTAGTAGTAGTAGTAGTAGTAGTAGTAGTAGTAGTAGTAGTAGTAGTAGTAGTAGTAGTAGTAGTATACATTGGCTGCTGTTGTTTTTCTTTCTTTCTTCTTCAGCGAGCCGGAAGCGCCCTCCTCTTGCGTATGTGCGGGCGCTTTGCAGGGGCTCGTCGGAATGCGTGGACCACAGAAGTTCTGCATCCACCGGGCCTACGGTCCTGACCGCCTGCCTTCGGCCCCCCGGCTTAGGAGAAGGGGGTGGATGTGCTTAGGGTATACGATGGTATACGATATGGGGGGGTTCAGAGCTTTGGGGTGAAGGATGTCGAGGTGTAGAGGTTCAGGGTTTGTGGGTTCAGGGTATGGGGGACGCAGTTTGGGCATTTGAGGTTCAGTTTCGGAGCTTCGGGTAAACTCGCAACCTGATTCCTGTCTTCGAGCCTCCAAGTGATATAGAGGCCTAGCCAGTTTGCCACTTCTACCCTCTCTGTTGGTAAAATTTTCTCCAAAACCATGTTCCAATTCTTAACCCCAAGCCCAACACCTGTAACCAACCCCTAGCGCCAAAACCCCTTCAAACATGCCAGGAAAACCCCTTAGGTATTAAACTCGAAACCCAAGCACCCTTAGGGCCCTAAACCCCATGCAAACATACACCGACACACCCTTAGGGCCCTAAACCCCTACAGCCTTTTGTCGCGCCCTCTGAAGCTCGCGCTTGCAGCCCTGAGGCTCACACTTGCTTCAATCAGCCCGGAGCTTGGCAGAGAGTGTTGAGAGGAAGTTTAGGGAGCAATTGGGCACAAGGCAGGGGAATTTAGAAGTATAGGACTTGGGATTTGTTTGGGATGTATTTGGGAGTAATGATTGGGATTTATTAGAGAGGTTTCTTTGGGATGTTGGGTTCATTTTAGGGTTTCTTTGGGGTATCTTTCGGGTTTCCAGCTTGCGCTTAAGCCGCCTTGCCTCAGCTTGTGTATGGAATCACTGCCCCCCCCTCCCCCGCCAACCCCCCCCCCCCCAAACCCCCCCCCAAACCCCCCCCCAACCCCCCCCAAACCCCCCCAACCCCCCCCAAACCCCCCCAAAAACCCCCCCAAACCCCCCCCAAACCCCCCCCACCCCTCCCTCCATGGGTTTAGTGTCATTTGTGCTTTTTCAACATGTTAAAACTCGTCTAAGATCCAAAGCCCTGCACCGAGGCTGGACCTCCCAGATTATCCCTCAGAGGACGTGTTGAGGGAGAAGTTGCTTCAGGCGGATGTCGGAGCTGCAAAAGCTTTGCCCTAAACCCTTTAAGCCCCTTACACCCTTAGCCCCTGCCTCTCAGTCATGACCCAGACCACTGTACCAGCATCCAAACCTGCTGGGGGGGTACAAAATATCCCTATTAAGGACGGTTCGTATAAGGGGGAGCATCCCAAACTTCATGAATTGATTTCAACGAGTAGACACCCATCTGGGACCGGTGGACTCATCGCTTTCCCATTTGTCTTGTCACTTTTTTTTGTCCCCTCGTCGTGTCCCGTTGTGACGCGCTAGCAGTCCTGGGTGCTGTGGCGCAGGTCTGGAGCTGGTGGGCTCATTTGGAGGTTTACACGACTTTTTGGGGTACCATATGTTGGGTCCTTATTATAAGGGAATCCCTTAATCGTATAAATCGCTTAGCACGCATGTTACAGGCGCTGGGTGGAGGGTCGGCGCATGTACTGTATCGCTTGCAAGATATTCACAACACACTGTGCTTTTGCTGCCCTTGCTCCTCAGTTGCTGTTTGGGGTTGAGGCCGGTATAATCTTAAGAAGAGTATCAGAATGTTTGCGTCGGAGTTGGCTCCTTGCGGAATTCCTTCTTTTGGCGAGTCGGATGTGTGCCACAGTTGCTGCCACTTCTGGTTTTGCAGATCACGTGAACCTTTGCCGGGTAGGTTGCCTGAGCTTGCTCCAGTCCCAGACCCTACAACCTGCCACCTACACCCTTTGAGAAGCAGTGGGGCCTTCTTGACTTCTTGAGGTTTCTCAAGACTGTGTGTTTTGTGGCCATACGTGCTCTGTCGACTCCCTGACGTTTGCAGGCAGTTCACGAAGGCCATGAAGGCTTCGGCTTCGCCTGAGACGTCCAAAGAGAGGCCCTGCACAGCACCTGGCGCGCGAAAATATTGTTGAAAATTCGGTGAGAGAAAGCTTCAGGCGGTGCTGCGCAGGCGCCCCATCGCACCCTCCGCTGGTTCTGGAAAGTCCAGGACGATTCGAAAGGGGCACATGATCATGGAGTCCATGGCGTCGTATAAATCCCCTTGACACGTCATGATTAAGCAGGGCGCCAGGCAAAACAGACAGACAGACAGCCCCCGAGGTAAGGTAACCATGTCCCACCCTAGCGAAGCTTGGCTGATGGACGTACGTGGGGTTTTCCCTAAAATCCGAGTACCTTGTGATGAGGAGTACTTCGGAGGCATGCTGTGCTTCCAGTCTTGCAACCTGATTTACGGAACACCCCACAGCCAATTCGACAGCACCCGTAGAGACGACCAAAGCCATGCAGTCCTCATCACTCCTGCACAAACAGCGGGATGTTGAGCATGACCACAACAATACCGGCAACTCGCTGTCATGGTTTATCACGCTCCTCTGATGCTTCTAGCTGGCTGTTATAGGAGCAGTGTGCAAGACGATGCAATAGCATTTTGGGTATGTGGCATGAAGTCTGATTGCATTTCTTCTGCGCGGTAACCAGATGCCGCGTGTAGCCTGGCTGCCGACAGGGACTTGGACTTCTGAAAGGCCCAAGTAGAACAGGAGCCAGTCAGGCGGCTTCGAAAATCGGGACAGAATTAGTGCCGGCATGTGACGGTTACAGAATTTACTTCTTTTCTCTCTTTCTTGTACTTTAGAATGTACCCGGTGAGCTAGTACTGGTAATATGCTCAAGGACACACAATATCACTTTTATAGTGCGTGCCATTATTGGTATAATTACATACATTGTATTGTCCGAAAAACACGATGATCAATATTAAATGCAAAGATATCAAAGTACCAATTGAACAAATGTAATTTAATGTAATGCGTGAACTCTATTAATCATTTTTATCATGTGTTCACTCATGCACTTCACCCCCCAATCTATCAAACATCCCGAATAAGACAAGTAGCAGAGATGATGACACAGAAAATTGTCAGAAGTATGTCGCATACTTGAGTATTTTCATGTGATTACTCAATAGACGTCGCTTGCACCTCCTATATATGCAGGATATACTCAATACCAATAGATGTATGATATGACAGCTTGGATGGCTAAGGCAGAAGGAGGTTATGTCGGCAAGTAGAAGTAGGGAAGCGCCCAAACCCCAAGTCCACAACCCGAAATGAGTGCAGAGAAGTGGCTTCATTGGTCGCCTTGCTGTTCGCAATCCCTCTGCCCAAAGTGCCTAAAGTCCTGAAGCACGAAGCCACTGACACTATACTTGACCTTGCAAACCCGTACACACCCCGTGCCTTATGAAACCAAAAAACGTTCCAAAGCTGTCGACGTGCCGTCGAAGTGCCTCTTATGATAAAGTGAAATCCGCCGAGTCTAGTGGCGAGAGGCACTGCTTCGTAGCGTTCCTTGACTGGTATACTCTCGCGAAGTAACATTGGAGCTTGAAAAGAAACCCTGTTCAAGTAGGCAAGAATCTAAAAGTCGCTTGCTCCAAAAGTGGATTCTAATGTGAGTTTTGGGGAGGGTACTTTTCTGCTGGCTTAGGTGCTCAGGGGCAACGTGGTGGGCACTTGAATATAACTGATAAACGAAATAAGCGGACGAAATGCAGACCCTTATTTTTCTATGTTCACGAAGTATAATCACTTTTGTTTACTAGTTTTAAAGATCTTTCTGTACATAAGCCATAATGTTTTTCTGGGTTGTAGATGGCATTTTCTTCGTCACCTTCTTTCCTTTTTGAGATGCAATAGTTTTCATATTACGTCATATTACGTCTTAAGGGAGAGCACGCGCACTTTGTTTGGGATGCACAAATTGGTTCTTGTGGACAGATGTCGTTCTAAGGGTGAATCTTATAATGTCTATCAGTCCCGTTGTGTGTGTGTGTGTGCTCCAAAGCCCGAACTAATGATTATAAATGGGTTTTGGTGAGCACGAGAACACCCAATAATCTTATAATGCATGGGCAATGAGTTTTCGTTTTTACGCACATTGTAACCAATGTATTTCATACATACTTGAAGGAACAAGGTTTCTTTCTCTTCTCACATAGAAAAGAAGATACATGGCATGGGACACACGAAGGCTTTGTAGGGCATGCAAAAGCAGGGCAGGCTTCACTAACCCCAAAATCCTAAAGCCCTAAAACCCTAAAACGTAAATAACCCCAAACCATCGAATGGTTTGCCATTGTGACTCTGCTTCATGGCGAGTTGTCCTCCTCACCCTTTCGTGCCGAGGCATGACCATTTCAATATTTAGATTGCAAAAGTGACAATTTCCTCGCCTTGGAGAAAGGTGCCCGGGTGGTCATTCGCAGCACAGATTTTGACTTGGTCTGGAGCTTGTGGAAGTCTTGGTGGTATCGTCAAAGGGCGGAGGACCAGAGAGCATAGGTGACAATAATTTGTCAATGATGAGTTGACGTTGGGCTTGTGGGAAGATATCAGGCGCACCATCAAAACCATCAAAAAATCATGAAGAGCCTGCGACGTACGATGAAAGTAGAGAAATCAACGATTATGATTCACAATTCCCGTGAGCACGTGGCAATTATTTATGTCCATTGGTTTACACCAATAGCCATTCCGGTTCGTATAAGTAAAGCACACATTATATTGAAGGATAAAGTTCATATTCGCTGAAAAGCTAGGGTTTGCATACGCAAGAGCTGAAAGTGCTGTAAATACCATAGTACTCGTTCGTGTTGAAGTATCGTAGCATCGCGAACCGGAGTCCTGTCAGCCAAGTAATAAAGCCGTGGCCTATGAGATATTTATTCTGGCAGAAGCAAGCATACGAACATTGACGGTATTTACGGTGGTTTCATCAATCGGTCTCAAGTAGAACGTGAGAGATACAAACATGATTATACGTAGAGCGAGGAGAAATATATGCGAGGTACGTCTTGGGGGGGGGGGGGGACCATATTATGCATCGATATATGTATTATCATATCATATATATATATAAATATAAATAAATAAATAAATAAATAAAAATAAATAAATAAATAAATAAATAAATATATATATATATATGAACATATGCGTATGAAAGGGCCTGCGAATGGCCTCCTGAAGATGAGAGCGGCTGCTTGGACGCTGTGCACCCTTCCCTGGCTTTGTGCCGCACGCTCGGGCCCGAGCACCGCTTCCTACATTGGTTTAGGGACGAAGGATTGGCAGTCCCCCTAGCCAACAGGAAGAGCTGTGGCGCGATTCTCGGTTAAACAAACAAAGGTCTACTCATGTGCTTTGTTGGACAGATGTGTTGATTTACCCGCCCTACCCTCACCACGTGGAAGGGGGGGCATGGGGGGAGGGGGACTACCCGACGCTGCGCCATATGTATGTATATACATATATATGTACGTAACGTATGTATGAATGAATGGATGAATGTATGTATGTATGTATGTATGTATGTATGTATGTATGTATGTATGTATGTATGTATGTATGTATGTATGATTGTATATGTGTTTTTTACATAGTGTTTATGGGGGGAGCATGGTCATGATAATGCTTAAAGGGGGTCCAAGAATATTCCAGGTCAAGCCTATCCGAAACCACCACCGCAGCACAGGATGCTAGGCCGTATTGTTTTGAGCGGAGTAGAATTGGGTTTAAGATGTAGGCTCCAGGGCTTAAGGTAAGTGTAGGGTTTAGGCCCTGAACCAGAAGCCTTAGAACCCTCAAACAACTTTCAATTATATAAGGCCCAGAGTCATAATCCGCCAAAAGCACAATGAGGCCCTCAAAAGCCCACAGCTTCCAAACCCTAGAAATACCCCGGAGCCTCCAAAGGTGTATGCCTTAAGCCTTAAGCCTGAAAAAACTTCTGCAGCGAAAAACCCACCATGGAGACCTCAAACGAGCAAAAGCCCAAGCTAGAAGAGCTTAAGCCGCTCTATTCCCTAAACCCACCTGGAGCCCTAAGCCTGAAGCGCTGCCGAGTCGAGGTCAGCATGCTCGAGAAGTCTTCTCCGAACGGAAGGAGGAGAGAAGACCGAGTTTCCACGGGTTTTAGGGTCTTAGGATCTTAGAGATTTAGGGTCTTAGGGATTTAGGGTCTTTGGATTTTCGGGCTTGGTCTTGAGCGTTCCGGGGGTTCGTAAGTGCCATGTCTCCGTTTTCGCCACCAAATCTTGCGCTCCACGCGGATGGCAAGATTGACCGTGTTTACAAAGCCCTGGACAGGAATGGCAGCAGCTGAACAGCAGCTGCCCAGAAGGGGAGCTGCGCCTCGAGGGCCTGTACCAGGCGGGGTTTGGGGCCTAGGGTCTCGAGCCGACTGTGCCAGAAGAGGCCCAAACCTAGGTTTTCGGCTCGAGAAAGGGGGTTGGGCCTAAGAAGGATGGGTTTGGCGTGCTTTGAGTTAGAAAAGTGGCTTTCCCAACCCCATCTCGAGACCGACTAAATCATCAAAACCAGCAAGAACAAGATACTGAGAATAACTGCGGCCCTTCACATGGAAACCATCAACGGCAAATACTTCAATGAGATATACCGAAGTAGGGTCAGGCAAGAAACGAAGTAGGGAACCAACATAGACGAAACGAAACAACTGCCCCGAAAAAGACGAAGTAGGCGACCACAACAGCAATTCCCAAGAAGGGAAAACGAAACAGTAACATCGAATGAAAAAAGACAGGAGACAGCGATAAAAAACAACAAATGAAGCAGACACAGCAACAGACTACGACCCTGACCCTAGACCCCTTCTTTTGCTAATTTTGTGTTGGGAGGTCCGGGGGGGGGGGGGGGCTGGGAGCACACGGAGTGTTGTAAATCCACAATCGAAAAGCCCGAAGCTCGAGAGCCGAGTTGAGGAGGGGCCGCGGCTCAAGACAACCCGGGCTTGAAACATGGATTCAGTCGACTTCCGCGTTGTGTCGAGGGTGCTTTGAAGACTCTTGCCTGTGGTTCATCTTCTAGCGTTCACGCATTAACCTACCCCAAACTCTAAACCTTATATAAACACAAGCAAAGAGTTGCGAATGGCGGTTTAGAAGGTTTAGCCTGAGCTCCAAGTTCGTTCCGAAGCCCTAAGCCCGAAATCCCTTAGAGATCAGGGCTTAGGCGAACGTCATTCTTGTTACCTGTTTTTAAAACCACGTCATCTTCCAGCGACTGACGCAGGTCCGCGAACCAATCAACATCTCACAGGGCTGCAAGCTCATCGCCCTTGGAGCCAAACCTGAAATGGTAGACCCTAAGCCCTACACTGCATGAAAGGATTAGGTTTAGGGTGAAGGATATATTTAGGGTCAGGGTTTAGGGTTCATTTGGGGTCTATGGGAGGAGGAGCCCTTCATGGAAACCCCTTATAGAACCCCAGAGTCTGGCCACCAATCTATCTTCATATTTATCTGTACATCTTGCGCAATTCTATTGTGATTGTCTATATTCTGTTCTGGTCTGCACCGTTCTGTTCTTATCTCGTCGTTAATGATATATGATTTGATTTTCTAACGCACTATGACACAACGTGGGCAGCAAAAAACAATTGAGTACCACAGAAACATACGTCTCTGTTTAAACCCTACGCGCTTAACTTAGGCTGTTTCGTCGTAAGAGTTGCCGCAACTGGCAGCTACAATTCTATATCGTACCCTTGTACTACAACCCAATAGGGAATGCCCAAACCTTCAATTCCAAGCCCCCGCCACTGAAGCAGCCTTCAACCCTTCCACCCAAAAAATCCTAAACCCAGCCTAAACCCTAACCCAAAGTCCTCCGCCCCTTAGGTGCAGTGGAAATCTGGCTTTGGCAGCCCATCTCTTTCCAGCGGCTCGACCTGCATGGCACGGTGAGCTTCATTGCGGCTCGGCAAGGTTTAGGGTTCAGGGTTTAGGGTTTAGGGTTTTGAGCTTATGGTCTTTTGGTTTAGCGTCTACGGTTTAGGGTTTACGATGGGGCCAAGCAGCCGTCATTCGACGGTTGTTTGGCGACACGGTTCTTCACCAAAATGCCAGGGGCCGAGTGGCAAGTTTTGAGCCGGTTGCAGGACCAAACCCTATAAGTCCTAAACTCTGAGAACTGAGAAGGGCTCATAGAGTTTAGGGTTTATAAGCCTTCGATCTACAACGGTTTAGGGGAAAGGCGTTCGTGCTCTGTGGCTCTTCATCCTTGGGGAAGCACAGTGTGTTGCCATGGAATATTTAGCCTCTGTTGAATTAGCAGGCCCGAGCTATGCAGTCGGGCCTGCATGCAAGGAGTCGCCTAGCTCCGTCACCGAGAATATGTGGAGGCGGCATCGAACCACACCCTTTACAAAAGGCCCCCCAATTTTGAAAGCTTCTAGAGCTGATATTCCCTGCAGAGGACCTCCACTGCTCTTTGTTTCTGGCTCCGATGTGCTGTTCACGCGCGCCCCTCACCCGCCGACCACATCGGTATTTGCGGTGTTTTCTGGACATTTCCGCCGAAAATGTCGCGCCTGCCGTTGTTTTCGCAGAGCGTCCATGTCGGCACGATGATAACGTTCGTGTGACCAGAGCGTCCACGTCCGCACGATGATATCGTCCGTGTGACCAGCGCGGCCATGTCCGCACGATGATAACGTTCGTGTGAGCAGATCGAGCGTCCATGTCCGCACGATGATAACGTCCGTGTGACCAGAGCAGAGCGTCCATGTCCGCACGATGACAACGTCCGTGTGACCAGAGCGTCCATGTCCGCACGATGATAATGTTCGTGTGACCAGAGCGTCCATGTCCGCACGATGATAACGTCAGTGTGACCAGAGCGTCCATGTCCGCACGATGATAGCGTCCGTGTGACCAGAGCGTCCATGTCCGCACGATGATAACGTCCGTGTGACCAGAGCAGAGCGTCCATGTCCGCACGATGATAAGGTCCGTGTGACCAGCGCGTCCATGTCCGCACGATGATAACGTTCGTGTGACCAGAGCGTCCATGTCCGCACGATGATAGCGTCCGTCTGACCAGAGCGTCCATGTCCGCACGATGATAACGTTCGTGTGACCAGAGCGTCCATGTCCGCACGATGATAACGTTCGTGTGAGCAGAGCGTCCATGTCCGCACGATGATAACGTTCGTGTGACCAGAGCGTCCATGTCCGCGCGATGATAACGTCCGTGTGACCAGAGCGTCCATGTCCGCGCGATGATAACGTCCGTGTGACCAGAGCGTCCATGTCCGCGCGATGATAACGTTCGTGTGAGCAGATCGAGCGTCCATGTCCGCACGATGATAACGTTCGTGTGACCAGAGCGTCCATGTCCGCACGATGATAACGTTCGTGTGACCCGAAGACTTTCTCAGTTCTGCCAAGGACAAGGACTGGCTGAAACTGTGAGTGCCTCTCAAGCAAAATGTGTCCGAAGGAACTTGCTCCGCAAACAGCTTTACTTGACCGCCTCGATGTCTCCAAAACCCAAGCCGCAGCGCATTTCTAAGAAAAAATCTGATGGTTTCGCTGCATCGACAGTCCTGACTGATGAATGTCCCAAAGCCTCAAAGTACTGCGCCTGCCACGTAAAACAAATGTCACTCCTGCTCCATCCTGGCTCCGGCGCGCGTGTACAGCACGTTACTGGAAAGCTCCTGCAAGGCTCCTCGCAAGGCGTCTACGTCGAGGGGCCATCCTTTGCCTTTTGGCCCCAAGCGACCCAGAAGTCCAAGGACCCAAGGGCTGCAACTTCTATAAGTTGGCCGAAAGTTTGCAAAGGCAAGCGACCCAGTGATCAGCCTCCCAAGTATCCCCAAAGGAACAACAAGCAAGTTGGAGTATCTCACGTGTGAAAAGTTGCGAAAAGTTTGCCAACAGTGTCTCAAGTGATCCGCGTGACCCAAAGGTCCCCACCGTCGCGAGAGTCCCGAGTGACCCAAGCGTCCTAAAGTGTCCCAAGTGACTCTAGTGGCTCCGGTTTGGCTGGCTCCAGTTTGGCTCGCTGCAGTGGCCGTGGGGGTGGGCATGCCTATGCGTTCAGCCGACCGTACCATAAACCCTAAACCTCAAACCCCAAAACCCCAAAAACCACACAAACTAGGGTCTCCGGGCCTTTTCGCATGACAAGGCACAAGACTACCTGACTGGGCCATGCCTCACCATCCATGGGAACGCCTCCATCCACCCAGGCTCGGTAGTCACGTTCGAAGGCCGCTAGGAGGCCCGGTGGTGCCCTTTTGCCCTTTTGGTTTTTTCGAGGGTTGAACGAGCTAATGCCAAACCAGGTATTCCTGTCATGCATAGATACTGGCTACCAAGGCTGCGTAAACCTTCACTCTTCCAGGTATAGCCGGGAGGACAGGGCCAGCATGGGAACCCTAAACAAATTTCTTTAAGAACAAGAATCCCCCCCCCCTCCCATAGAGAGCAAGGACTATCTGATTACCTCAAACCACAAAGTATGGTCCTTATTGCTAGAATTATGGAGGTCAGGGCAGCAAAAAGCCTCCTGACTGCAAGAGAGGACCAGTCCAAAAGCTCATTCGACTTATGCGACTGGGCCCTCGGCGGCTCCCTCCACACCGATGGTGACCTGATCATTCAGGGTGCGCGTCTGGACATCAAGAGCTCCTACACGAACAGTTGCGGCGGGGCCGTCTATGTCCGAGGTCAGAGCAGGGGTGGAGACTGAATCCTCGGTTTGAGCTTTTGAGGGTTTGGCCGAACTCCGATCCCGAACCCTAATGTTGAGGTCACCTCGAAAAAGGGGGTGGCAATAGCGGGAAGTATTTTGGCCGGAGATAATAACGCTCGGCCTTGGGGCCGTCGCAAGAAGGGCTTCCAGAGATACCCAGAGATCCATCTGCAACGACTGCAGTCTCGAACGAGAACGTTTTTTCGCTTTTTGAAAGCATTGATTCCTTATTAAAGACCTTTCAAAAAAAACAACCCCCGAACAAATCCGCCAAGGCTACCCCTTACAAGGCACCCGGATTACAATAACAAAGGGTGTTAATAATAAATTCCGGCCCCTCGGGTGGGGGGGGGGTGTCTGGCTCTCTCTTTGTCATTGCTTGGTTGCTCTTGTCTGCTCTTGTCTCCTTTTCCTCGCTTCTTCCTCGCCTCTCCCCTCTACTCCCCTCCCCTCCCCTCCCCTCCCCTCCCCTCCTCCCCTCCCCTCCCCTCCTCTTCTTCTGTTCTCTACTCTTCATTGCCCTCTTCTCTTCTCGCCTCTGCTCTCCTTTTCTCGTCTGTCTCTCCTCTTCTCGCGTTTTCGCTCCTGGTCTCCCTCTTCCTCTCCTGTTCGCTCTTCTTTGCTCGTCTTTGCTCTTGAGAAAAGCAGAGAAGCGAAGAGAACGGCAGACCAAAGAAAAAAGAAAGAAAAGAGAACCAGGCAAGAAGAGGAGAGCAGAAGAGAAAAGAGAAGAGGAGTGAAGAGGAGAGCAAAGCAATGAAAAGCAAAGAAAAGCAGACAAGATAAAATCAGAGATTTGAGAGGAGGAGAAGAGCAGAGAAGAGCAGCAAAGAGCAGCGAAGAGCAGAGAGAAGAAGAAAGAGCGGAAAAGAGGAAAGGATGAAGACAAAAGGAGAGAAGAGCAGAGACAAGCAGAGAAAAGATAAAAGAAGAGAAAAGGAGTAGAGAAAAGCAGAAAATGCAAAGGAGAGCAAAGAAGAACAGCTCACCCCAAGAAACCGAACGAAGCCTAGAAAAGCTCAGAATGGAAGGGGGTGGAGGGGGATTCGAGCCCAGGACCTTCGATTATGAGTTCGACGCCTTAGCCACTAGACCAACCGGGACTTTGGACCAGAATCCCCCCCCCCCCCCAGACGAGGAGGACGACGACGACGACGACGACTACTACTCCTACTACTACTACTACTACTACTACTACTACTACTACTACTACTACTACTACTACTACTACTACTACTACTACTACTACTTCACTACTGCTGCTGCTATTAAGTACACCCAGTGTCCGACCAGAAGAGGCCCCCCCCCCCGCCCCCCAAGGCTTTATTATTGCCACCCGGACCCTTTCAAAGTTTGTTTGGACCCAGCGCCCGAACAAATCAAACGTTAAACCCCTCACGTTTTCGTGCTCAGCTCTTCACGTCTGCGAAGGCTGCTTCAGCCTCGTTTGCAGCAGCATGCTCATCGTCGATGTTTCGACTGGCTTTTCGGGAGGTGGCGTAGTGCGTAGTGCGAAGCTTGGGGTCAGTTTTAGGGTGGTTGTTTTTGTAGCATGCTTTGTGCTGGTGGTCAACGAAGCTTCTAAACCTTGAACTAGGTGGGCTCTATGTTGGCGACAACCTCACTCTGCTCAATGCCACGCTCAAGGTCACAGATGCGCGTGCTGATTTCAGGGGAGGCACGGTGGGAAACTCTGCCGATTTGGGGTTAAGTGTTGTGTTCACTGCTCTTCCCCGCAGGTGCCCTGCATTGCAGCCAAGACATCAGTGTCGTCAATTCCACACTTGCGGTTGACGACGCCAGTGCCTTGTTTGGAGGCAGGGCCGCTCTGGAGTACCCAAGCCCTAAACCCTAAATCGTTTTCCGACCAAGACCGCCAAGACCCAAAGGCGCGCTGTCCGCATATGGTAGCCTGCAGCTTGACCACGCCAGCGTGACACTCAGCCATGCAACAGCGGCCAGGAGTGGAGGCACGGATTGCGTGCTGCCTTGGTTTGGGTATATTTGGGCCCTTGCGCCCGATACCCTAGAGTAGAGGGTTTAGGGTTTAGGGCTACCTGAGGTTTCGTCGCTCCAAACCTGCACCCTGAAACGTAAACCCAAAATCCTAAACCGTAAGCTGCAGGCGGTGCACACTGCACATCCATCACGGTATCCGAGAGCGACTTGACCGTGCGCCACGCTCAAGCCGCTTCCGCAGGAGGCCCGCAAGGGCTCGTCCATGGTTTTGGGTTTTGGGTTTGGGGTTGCACAGTTGTCAGGGCACCCAGTACCCCGGGGGTCATTCATCGTCGTCGTCCTGGTCTTCGTGGCTTGCCACCCCAAAACGTGGAGAAACCCGAAAGCCGCATATCTGAAGCCCGAAGCCTAACCCTTATAACAAAGATCCAAAGGCCCTCAGCCCCAGATTCACTGTCGAGGCGCCTTCTTTGCCCGGAAGTTTATGGAATTCCGCAGCGGCCGCATCTACATCGACTCTGTCTTCGCCGACTTCGGAGGCTTGACTTGTGTGGGGAAGTGAGCACCTAGCGCTCACAACGACACTTGTGGACCAAGTACTCATCTTAGGCAATAAGAATTGCCGAATGGTTGACATTGCATCCTGCTCCTCTATTGATCACTCCGACATATCCACACGCGAAAGGGGGCTAGTGTTTGCGCGAAAGTTCTTCCAACATCTTTAAGACTCCTCTCTCATAACCTGCTGAAAAGGGGGCGAAGAACCGGTGTGACTTCTTACGGGGTAGTTGTAGCTTCTACCTGCAATCCTGGCAACGAGGGACTCAACCTGCTCATGGTGGTACTTTTCAAACCATGTGGTGAGGCAGTTTAGCTGAATTTTGGCAAAGGAGGGAGACTCTGTTGCTAGCGGAGGAGTGGGACCTGGGGATGAGGAGCAGGGTTGAGCGGCGGAGGGGGGGTTTCACCACTTTTCTGATGCTCTAGCCGCTCTAGCCTAGGTGTTGGGATTTACGGGTAGCAAGGAACATACTCGTTTCAACACGATCGTAGATTGGGATCCATATATCTCCCCATTCAATGGGTTCTTCGTTGGTCATAGCCTCTGAAGCCGAACGCAATCCTGCAGACTGTCGCCGGCCGGGGTTGAAGTGCGCTTGCCATCAGTAACGGTAGCATAATTTTATCGCTACGCGACCCGCCTCGGCCTGAGCTTCTGTAATAAGGCAACCCAAACCAGAGGGCTGGGAGTCAAAATAAAGGCGTGCAAGCCTGTCCCTGGGCTGTGGGAGGGGATTAGAGGTGGGGTGCCTGCTTTGTTCCACCCAGACACCTACAGCCCGAGGCCTCGGCGGAGTTTCACTGAACATATGTGTAAGTTCTGATGAATCTCGTGGGTCGTTTGGGGCACTGGGTCGGTAGTAAGGGCTGAGGTACCGGGAGGACTTGCCGCTTCCGGCGGCGGCTCAGGTTGCGGCATCTTTACCAGCCGGGCTTGACATGGCTAACGTGAGTGTAGGATAATGCATATTCAACATGCAATAGAAGAATTACCAAACCACAAGCACAATGTGTCCTAGATCTTAAAATCATAGCGCGGCGTGCGAGGAAGCGAGCAAGCACTATGGGGTAGCCAGCCATGTAACATGCTATCATAGGACAGCACTGAAAGCGAGTGCGAAACCCTGGGCTGTCTGTCCCAGGGGACGGGACGGCTCGAGCCCGAGCCTCTGCGATAGGAGCGTTGAGTAAGATTCTTGTGTAGGATGTGTGTCATGCATAATTAGTTTTGTCACTCCGTCGCCGTACGGGTCCTTGAGTTTATTACAGTCAATAGCTTTGCAGTGCAGAAAGGAGTCACCCGCCAATTCTCAAATTTGCATGCATAAATCCAAGCTGGCAGCCTGCCTCACTTAGACCCCGCCACACTGCCACCCGGGAAAACAACCTCTTCCGCCGGCTTGGGGTTTAGGGGTTTCAGGTTATAGATAGTTACATTAAGCAGTATCTTTGCCATGGCCAAGTTCTTCAACACCCCACGCACAAACTGAAAACCCTCCCTTCAATTGAAGGGCAACTTTAGCACCCGTTGCCCAAAATGCCAGTCGACTGGCCTCTCCCAACGCCCGGTCCTCTTCGCAGGTGGCATCTACACGGTGATCTACGTCCAGCACCCAGCGAAGCTGCACATGCGGAACGTCAGCGCCAGCGCCGTCGGGCGAGGGGCCGGGATCTATGCAGGCGTGGACGTGGGCTGGGTTGGGGTTGATGCATTTTTGGGGGCCAACCGCGACACCCTAAACCATGAACCACACGTACATTTTGTAGAAGAAGCCCTTGAAACACGACACAGAAAGGACAGATCGAGGCAGCCGAAGCAGAGATGACGCTTCAGGGGACCGCCAGGGGTTCGGCCCTTTTCGCAGAAAGGCTGTGCCACTTGGGGAAGGTCAACTGTTCCGCCGCCCCAGGGTGCAGGCTGCGTGCTATGGAGCGAGTCCCAGAGGCTGGCCCACCCCCAATTACACCCAAAGCTTATACCCGAGGTATCTCGAGTGTAGCTTTCCCTTCTTTCCTAGTGCACACCGTGCAGCTCCCCGAAGCCTTAACCACAAACCCAAGACCTGAAGCCCATAAACCCTAATTACCCCATGCGCTGGAGGTGAGACAGCTCTTTTGCAGTCGCGGCGAGGGCTTTGTGAGGCGGACGACCACCCTGAGCTGCCAACCCTGCCATGCATCTAGACTACTTTGTGGACTTCTGTGTCCCGATTGCTTGTTATCCTCAGGATAAGGAGACATAAAAAGAATGATAGAGTTGACCAAAAATAGTCGAAGCGACAGTGAAAGATGACGTACGGGACCATAAAAGATGATATGACAAGAGGGACCAGATGGAGTATTTTAACGGCACCATAAAACCATACAAGAAGGATGGACTAGTTTATTTTCCATGTACATTTTGCTATTCATGGAAGTTTACGGGACAGTCCGGCCATTTCCTTAAAGAGGGGTATATCCCCAAATAATAAATACTATAAATCTTAAGCTGAAGACCCCAAAGCACCCAAAAAGGATTCCTAATTAGTGGGCAACTCTATTTGAGGAACAGACGACCCGGCTGACGAAGGACGCCACACTCCCATGCACGAGCTGCCCAGAGATCCCGAGACTTGGCGGTTTCAGGTTTAGGGTTTGGATGGTTTGGATCTTAGGCAACTAAATCCTGCCTTAAACTATTTAACTCCTAGTCTACACAGGGCCACACGGACGTGTCTCTTCAGGATGCCAATCAGCTGCGAGTCGGCAAAGGTCACCTTGCCGGCAGGTGCGATGGTTCTGGCCTCGGCATGCTGCAGTGGCGGGTTCAAGATTTGGGGTAGGTTTGGGCTTAAATTGATCTAGACCCAAACTATCAAAATATGTTAACGATCTCCATGGGCCCCTTTTTCCCCTAAATCCTAAGGCCCTCTGATCTCCATGCAGGTGAATCTCAAGCCGATTCCGCGCTGGGAGGATTCGGGCGAATCATACAACCTTACCGACCTCACCGAGTGGTATTTCTGCCCCAATCGGCAGGCCACGGCTGCGAGACCCTAAACCCCGAAACCTGACCACCCTCAAGCCGCAAAATCCCCTCAATTTGAGGCAGAATCACGCCTTGGCAGTTCGACCACCTTAAGCCCGAAATGTAAGAAACCCTAAAGCACAACCCTACAACCCTTAAGACCCCCCAACTCCCAAACTCAAGCTTCGAAAGTCCCAGAATCCTCGAAGCCCAGCTGGACCCTAGCATAGAGATGAGGGAGGTGTTTTGGGCTTGGGGGCTCCAAAGCGATAGGAAAGTCATAAGGTTTGAGAGGTGGGGTTATAGGAAAAAGTCAGGCTCAAGCGTTTGTTTGGGTTTTGGGTTTGGAGGGTTTTCCGGATTTGGCAGGAGGTCCAAGGTTGCAAGAAGGTCGGTTGTGCTTCGAGATTTACAAAAAGGTTAACAGTTCGGGGTGCCAGGGGCTTTTGGCATTGAGGCTTTTTTGGGTTTAAGGGCTAGGCGAGCAGCCTTCCGTGTCATGCACTCCCTTGCAGAAGCCTTGAAAGAGCCCTTCTATAAGGTACCTTACTTGGGAACTCCTCGCTGAAGCTCTCACTAATGCAGGAATTTGGCCCGAAGCTCGAGGCTTTCATTCGAGGTTTAGGACCCGACTACCTTCCTACCTCCAGGCCTGTCCAATTGGATTCGTCGAAGCAGGTCACTGGCCCGGGGATGATGCCAAATTTGAGGAGCCGATTGTTCCGAAGGGAAGACAGGTGGGAGCCTCGCATAAACTCTATGCAAACTTGATATAGTCCCCTGCGGGTTTCGGTTTCTTTTGGTGCCAGCGTCGATTTGGGGGTTTCGCGGTTAGGCATAGGGGCAGCCGTATTCAAAGTTGGTGGCCTTGCAAGACTAGCGCCCTTCTGGATTCTCTCTCTTTGGGAGCAAAGCGCGTAAGCGCTCAAACAAGCAGGGCAGGGTAAACTTCTTCATCTTTAACCCGAGAACTTTCAAACCCAAGCTCCTGGAGGACGTGCCGTGTCGAGAGGGCTTTTGCGGGCCTGGGTCGCCTGCCCTGCCATCAGTGCGGATGAATTGGCACCGGAGCCTGTTGATCTCCTAGCCCTAGCAAACCCCAGCACGTGGCACCCTCACAAGCAAAAGACCTTGAATGAAATCCCTGCAGCTCCGGGAGGCCACTGGAAGCCCGGGCTCCATAAGGCCAAGATTTAATGGAAAAGTTACAGTTAAAATCAGTGTCGGCTTATACTTTGTTTTAACAGAAATAAGTAAAGTGGCAAGCCGCTTTGGATGGCATGGGATGGGATGAAAAAAAGAGAGACACGCATTGTACAATCAGGCCTTGATTGCCAATCGCATAGCAGGATGCAATCGATGGCTGTGACTGACCAACACTCTCGCACCATTCTAAACCCTACGCTGCCTTAACCTCCAGCCCACCAATCCCTGGCTTTGGGGGTTTGTATAGAGTTTAAGGGCTCGGGGTCTCGGGAGTTTGAGGTGCTCGGGTGTGGGTTTCGGGCCTAGGGCCTAGGGCCCAGGTGTGTCCACTGTGCCTGGCAATTCGCCCGGTCGGACAGCGACGTGCTGCACTGCATCAAGTGCGCAGACAAGGCAACCGGAGCCCGAACCCTTGTCCTTAAACCTTAAACTTCACGAGAGTCTGAAGCAGATTTCTTGTTCAACCAGAGGTGGGACTTGAGATGTGGAAGTCTCCTTTGAAAAGTTGACGAGGGCCTGTTTAATCGCTTAGCCTTCCGAATTCTACGCTCTTCAACTTTTACAGGTTGCCAGGTTGCCTGGTTTCGGCCCAGAAGAGTTGAAAGGCCCGCGCTTTGGCGTTTCAGACTCCTGCGCTTTTCTACTTCAGCGAGTTGTGGCATGTGGGCCTGCCCGCGCGTGCTCTAACGTTTTGCAAGGGCTGGGCTTTCCAATCCTACCCGAGGCAGATCCACCACGCAGAAACCTTGGAACCTAGACCCTAACAAACCATGTTTGTGGGCTGCCCAGAAATTAGCCGTTTGACCGTGGCTTGCAGTCACCTTTTGGGTATCCAGCGCAGCTCATACCACATCTCAGTCAGCTCCCCTTCAGCTTGCTTGTCTTCGTATCTGTGAGCTCACTTGAGGGGGCACTGGCCAAGCCACTGGCTCATGCGTTGTAGCTGGTGGCGCAGCGACGAAATCAACCGCAGCCTCATCCCTATGGCCACTTGCTGAACTCTCAAACTCCAAGCAAATTCAGGCCACACACCAGCAGCATGCCATAGAGCTCGAAGCTTCAATCCAACTCCATTGGCTGCGCCACCGTCGTTTGGATTGCTGCAATCATCATCTACTCAATCAGTACCATATTAGCAACATCCTCGACCGCGAGAGTCTTTGCAGGGATCGCCTCCTCCGACGAGGCCGTTCCAACCGAAGGCCCCATCACAGCGAATGAGGACAGTAAAACTTAAGTCCAGGGAGAGGAGGGCGGGGCAAACGATTCTTGCCTAGGCACACCAGGCAGATTCTGGCACACAGAGTCTCACATTTTGGCTCGAGCACACTAACAGAGCAACATACATGTTTCCATACATGCTCACTGTAGTGGCGCAAGAACGAAGGCTGTTCACCTAGCCTGCCCGAAGCACGAAACAGCGACACGTTCTGTGCACTCACTCCATGGACATGTAGGGGCGCTACTCGGTTCATGAGGGTTTCCCTCATAGTGCGTTGGATGTCCCTGATCTCAGGGGCCGCCCAGCGGCGCGCTGCACACAGCGAATACTCATGGGCATGATGGGGGACAACACCTCCCAATGCACTACCTCACACGCGGGCATCTCTCGGGCAATAGAGCAGCCATGATTCCTCCCAGTAGAAGTTATCCCGGAAGTCCCCCCGTGTGAATGCCACGCGCGTGGCAGCGCTGCCCCAAAACCCTAAACCGCGGTTGTTCCTCTATCTCTCGATAAGAATTCTCAGCGAGTACCTATTCTCCATGGCACAACCCAAACTTCCATGCAAACTTCGACCCCGTGCTTGGAGCATGGGACACGGTCTCCTTGCTGTACGTCGCAGATCAGGCCCATTGTGGCCCCAAATATCTTTGGGACCAGCTTTGCCAGCCTCAGTGCTACTTCACACCATGCAGACAGAAACGCAAAGTGCTACTCTTTCCGCAGCATCTGTAGAAAACACAAGCGCTCGTAATCAAACATTTCAAGCCTTTTGAGTGCTACGCTTCTTTGGCGGCTCGCCATCCTCAGCACGCGGGTCCGCCCCTAGCTCAGGGCAGAGCAGAACATCATGTATGCTGATGAAAGGAAGTGGATTAGCGTCTGGAACGGAAGGCAACCCATCGACGAGGATCTCCAAGCCTCACAATGGTCCTATGCAAGAGCGCGATTCGGCAGGCCATGATCACTCCAAAAGCAGTCCAAGAAAACCAAAGCCATTTCACGAGAACCCAAAAGCAATCAAACGAGGAGCATCCGAGGCGAGACAGCGCCAATTGCAACACTACAAAGTGCTTTCTTCCCCCAAGGACGCACGCAAGGCAACCCATCCTCGAGCCAAAAACACGAGCAACTTGCTTCCTTGAGCCACGTTTTTGCGCCCCACGAAACGCTGTATTCCCGTGGAGATTTCGAGTACATTCCTGGTGAGGACGCCTTTTTTGGCACTCTGCACGTATCCCTTTAGCCAGGTGCCCTCCACCCTACCCTCAAGGAGGCTACGGTGTCCGGCAGAGATCACGGCATCCCCAAACTCGGCGACGGATTGACTCGGCCAGGTGGGGGCCCTCGCAGCACGTTCCAAAGCTTGGGCGTAGTGTTGCAGCGCCATGCAGCCATGCACTTGGATGACCATGCCTGCCTGCAAAGCAAGGTGCGCCCACCAGGAGCTCCCACTGCAGCTCCCCACCGCGACGACTTTTGGTGGTCTTGCAAGTGGCGAGGCGCCAGGCGCTTGACTTGCAAGGTGTTGTGCTCGGCCGTGAAAGAAGCTTCCAAACACTCCTCCCCCCCGCGCTCCAGCTCGGGCTCGCAGGGCCCTTGGGCCGTGAAGCCGCAGTGCGCGCTGCCCAACTGAATGAGAGGGCGGCGGCAACTGCAAGCAATTGCGGGGAAAGCACGTACATGTCTTCCCACCCTCCTTGCCCGTGGCCAGTTTCGGCTTGGCGGCTTGTTTTTGGCACCAGAGTCTAGAGTGAAGCCAGAAGGCTCTTCATCACGAGGCGAGAGCGACGAGGGCATGCTAAAACACCGAGAGCGTCATCGTTCGCATTTTTATTCATGGTAAAACAGCTTTGGGTAATGGATTTCAACATGGGGTTTTGACAACGACTCATATGCGCACCGCGACTTAGCCAGAGCGTCCGGGCCCACAGGAAAGTTGACAGGGTCATCAGCTTCGAGATTTCCAGGCTATGTCCCACCCTTTCACATCGTGCTCGTTGGCTTCGCATAGCCGGCGGCGATAAGAACAGAGATGGCGCTCACGCTCCTCCCGCAGGAGGATTCGTCCTCATCTCCTGGAAAAGCTTTCCCCGGCCCCAGGCGTTGCATCCACAGTGGCAGGGTCCTCCGCGAAGGAAGAATTTTCAGCTGTCCACGTCGCTGACTAGGTCCACTGCCAGCTCTCTGCGGGACTCGCAAGCTCATCGCGTCTCCAGAACTCATCTCGAATGTCCTGGCCGACGTCACAACTTGGCCGGCGACAGACGCCTCGACTGCGCAGCGAATGCGCAGGGTCCGAGCAACCGTAGCAGCTTAACAAACAGGCTCCGACGAAATGGCTCAACGAATTGCGAATTTCGTTTGAGGTTTCACACAGATGCAAAAGTAGCTTCTGGGCTTTCTATGCATTTGCCTTCCTGCAGCTGCGTGTGCTCTGCAAACAAGTCTGCACATGCTGCCCAAGGGACTCTTCGTAGCCGGCCCCTGGTTCGAGGTACATGGCATGTCCTTTTGCAGCAAACTCATCCTACCGCATCAACAAAACCCTCAACCCGGAACAACCTCCAGCCTGGAGAGTTGAGGAGGCATGGACAACCATCTCCGCTCGTGTCGCACCCAAAACTCGATGCCGTTTTCTGCGAGACCCTCCCAAAGCCTGCAAAATTCTCTTTTGGAGACAACTCATCCAGAGGGGTGTGGAAACGAAAAAACAAAATAGTAAAACGAGACGATTGCTTACCCGAGCGCCCAGTTCTGTCTCAGTAGACAAGTGCGCTACGTCACTACGCAGACAAGGAAGTAGTATACCCCGCACTGCGCCGGGTCCTTCGGCAGAGGTCTCAAAAGGAAACTCCCTGCCAGACACTTCTAAGGCTAACCCCTTAATTAAACCCAAAATCGTACGGCAGGTGATGGTGTACATCCTCATGCACCTGGCCTGGGATGTGGGCTTCTTCACTTATGCAGCCGTCAGTGTCGTCGGGCCCGGTTAGGGTGTATAAGGTTTAGAGGTCTTTGGGTGTAGGTTTGAAGTTCGACTGGTCTTTGGAGGTCTGGAAGTGGCGAGCGCAAGCGCCCCTGGCCCCACGTCCATACAAATCGCCCCAAAACCTATATATGCCAGAAAAATCCTCCCAAACCAACTGCCCAAGCCCTAAGCCCGAGGTCGCCGCAGGCAAGCGTGACCGACCGCTGAGTCGCACACTGCTGAACCAGCTCATGGCCTTCGCTGGCGTTGCCAGCAGCGTCCTGCCCCCCGGGCTGTTTAGCCCAAACCCAAATCCTCATCTCTAAACCCTCGAACCTGAACTCTAAACCCACCACCAAGCGGGGCGTTTGAGGGGTGATCCCTCAATGCGCATATAAACCCGAACCAAAACCCCTGAAAAGACGTGAGCCCAATGAGCCCTAGGTCGGCGGTGGCGAAGACGGATCCCGTGGCGAAGCTAGGGCTGATCGGGAAACAACTTTTCGTGGTGCAGGGCTTGGGGTTTAAGATTTCAGGGCTGAGGGCTTTGGAGTTTTTGCGTGCGCAAATCCTAAGATAGTAGCCTCGGGTACCCCTATCCCATGTACGTTCGGTTCCACAGCGAAGCGACGGAGCTCCAGCCTTTGGGGTTCCAGAGCGGGGTCCCGAGCGGGTTGCGGAGCGGGTTCGGGATGCTTTTCATGCGATGCGAACGAAGTTGAGCCGCAGTGCAGACTTTGGCTCTTGCGAACTCTTGCGATCCTGAAGCGCACCTGAGGCTCTTCATCTTCGTGACTGTCAGCACTTTTTAAGACATCCAACGCCCAACACGATACCGAAACGCTGGGCTTCCGCAGCTACAGCCGATGAGCGAACGCTTTCGTAGGTCGTAGGCTTTCGAACGCTATTGAATACAAAATGCACGATGTTGGGTAAGCTCCTGGGCCCTGCAGGAACCCCACAACTCTTAAAGAGGGAGCCCTTTTGCTACACATGCGCGAATAAACGCTTCACATGCCATGCCATTGAAACATGTTGAGCGAATATCCGGTTACCGCAGTGAACTAATCGTCTTTCTCGTTAATCCCTTTGTTAATGGACCTCAGGCTCATGAGACTTTTGAATGTACTCTTATGCCAAGAGTGGGGATCTCAGCATGTAATAACCCAGGTGAACGAATGCCCGTGGGAAGATGCAGAGTTCTTTCCATTTGCGAAGCCCTGGGCTTTGGGTGGGGTGGGGGGAGTCCATTGGCGAAGTCTTAAGAAAATCAATCTGGGGACATCTGAGACTCGAACGCCCCCTCCCCTGAACATCAGGGAGTCCCTTGCTTGCCGGGGTTTTACCTCCTTGGCCTCCAAACTTTCCTTCTGCGAGTGACCAGCGACATTACGATAGCAAACCATGGAAGAACTTTAAAGATTGCAGCTCTCCGAATTTTAGTTTCAGCTGACTGTTACATCACAATAGTGAAAAATGCACGCGCCCGGGAGACGTATAAACGGCCTTGCAAAGATATTATATATACATACATACATACATACATACATACATACATACATACATACATACATACATATATATATATATATATATGTATGTGTGTATATATATATATACTAGACACACGTGCGTGCTTCGCACGCACTTAGTGTCTGCACCAGCCCACGATGCGGAGGTGCGTGGGAGTGGTCTAGAGGGGACGGCCCGGACAGAGGGGGCAGCGGGGCCGCGGCCACGTTTTTTGGGGTCCGGGTTGTTGGGGCTCAGGCTTTAGGACGTCAGGCTTCGGCTTGAGGATTCTGGGGTTTTTTGGGGTCGGGTCGAGGGTTTGGGGCTTAGGTTTTGGGACGTCGATTTTCGGGTAGGTCAGGGTGAAGAGGGTTGGGGAGGGGGGGGGGGGGGGGGGGGGGTAAACGCGCGTTTTTGGGACTCGAAGGGAAGTTGAAGGGTTAGGATTTCGGGCTTGCTTGGGGTTTTGGGAACGAACCCTGCATGGTGGCTTTGGTTCATGGAGACAGGGGCTCCACCTTCTGCTTGGGGTCTGGCGGGCCCAGAGTGAAGGGGGTCGGAGCTGCAGTCGGGGGGGTGGGTGGGTTGGGGGCGTGGGGGGGTGTATAGGGCACTGGTGTTCACAGCTTCAGTCCAGAAGCTGGGAAAACCAGCAGTTTAAGGGTTTAGGATTTCGGGCTTCCTTGCGGGTTTGGGTCATGGAGACATAGATTGTTTTTAAAGGAGTATGGTACTACTGGTGTTCACAGGTCCAATCCTGAAGCTGCGGTGGGGGTGGGTTGGGGGGGGGGGGGGGGGGGGGGGGGGGAAGGGGGGGGTGTTTTTTGGGGCGCAGGGCATGGGCGGCTGGCCCCCTAACTCGTCGCGGGCCCAGACCTTAGCCTCAGACCCTAAACCCCGAACCCAAACCCTAAACCTTAAACCCTAAGCCTAATCCTTAAACCTTAAACCCTAAACCCTTAAACCCTAACCCCAACCACACCCACACCACAGAAAAGTTAGTGTCTGCACCAGCCCACGATGCGGAGGTGCGTGGGAGTGGTCTAGAAAAAACGGCCCAGACAGAGGGCTGACGCGGCCACGTTTTTTGTTCAGGTTGGGGCTTCGGCTTTAGGACGCCGGGCTTCGGTTTGAGGGGCGGGGCGGAGAATCACCTCGCGAGGGGGGGGGGGGGTCTCTTTGTTTATATATATATATATATATATATCTGTGTGTGTGTGTGTAAATAAATGAAGAAGAACATATAAAAATAAACAAATAATATATATATATATATATATATAATTCGTTGTTATCCAAGGGCCAAGGGTTGTTGACCTGGTTTTGTGGTTCTAGGGTTTAGGCTTTTAGGGTTTTACGGTTTGTTGGTTTAGGGCTTGTTTTTTTGTACGTGCCACAAGCCGCCCAACTCCACCCCTAAACCCCAAAGGACGCTTGCTAACACGAGTCGCTTGCTGCGGTCCTTTGTGGCGCAGGACGTTCTGCGGGTGGGGTTCAGGGCGCTAGGGATGATCTTAGGTAGTCTTAGGGTTGAGGGAACGTGAGGGTCTAGGTTTGGGGCTTGGGTTCAGGGACACCCTAAACACCCCAAGCCCCAGACCCTAAATTGTCACCCTTGGCGGTAGGACGCGGTGTCGCTGTCCGCCGAGTGCCTGCTTCGTCACTTCGGCTTCCCCCAGGACACCAGGATACCTTAAACGCTGTCACTATAATCCTTCACCTTCGTGAGCCTACACGGGGTTTAGCTTCCCCCCAATGCGTGCCCGAAGCACTACTTAAGGCCCTACAAAACCCCTTAGCTCCTAACCGTCCTAACCATGGAAGCCCGATAACCGAATAGCATACTGCGCAAAGCTGCTGTTTCAGCAGCAAACCCAATAATTGCCACACATTTTCCCGCAGGCTATATGTCACACGTACATTCATGTCGGGTTGACCGTTAATTAACCGAAAAGAAGCCAAGCTCTAAAATTTGTGTTTTGCTAATGAGAGTGGAGTCAAGAGGGCCAAGCTTCCAATCTCAATGGAACAAGTCCTCAAGTCCAAGCCCTGAATTGTTAAAATCCCACCACAAAAATAGTTTAATTTTTTGGTAGGCTCAGATTAGCACCGCCGACCCACACATGTTTGTAGTTTTTGAACCCGCCTCCGGAACTGTGCTGTCTCTTTTTGTGCAAAGCATTGGCGGCAGGTTTAGCTTCTTCTAGTTGCGCTCACGCGCATACCTAACAGAAGCTGTTTCTATCGACATCGGCTCCCCTCGAACCACCGGCTCCCCTCAACAACAATCTGCTAAGCCCTGAAGCCGACAAGCTTGTGCACAGGCAGGTCGTAGTTCAAGGCTCAGGGCTTAAACTGGTTTACATGGGTTGAACCCAGGTTCGAACTCTGTTTTACAAAGAGAAGAGTTCGAACCTGGGTTGAACCCAGGTTCGAACCCCCCCCCCCGTAGCCATTTTGGCTCAAGTTTTCGGCCCAAGGAGTAGTCTGAGGGAAAGTTTCGGAGGTCTCAGCCTTCCTAGCCTGGTAGCCAGCCTAGGACAGTTTGCCGGAGGTGCCTTCCTCTTAGCCATGGCCCCCCGCGAGTACATCTGCTGCAGTGGTACGAGCTGCACAGGATGGATTTGGGCGGACAGGGCGAAGAAGAACCAGCTCTGCAAGATGTGCAGCACACCATGGGCAAACAGCATTCGCCAGGCGAGACAGAACTGGAGCAAGTGGAAGCCACAGTGGCCTACGGTCGCCGAGGCAGCTTACTGGCAACCACCAAAGAAGCCCAAAAGACTCCGAAAGCACCACTGCCGAACAAGGTCCTGCAAGCCCTTGGAGTGGCGTGGGACAGTGTGCCTGAAGAGGTGCAAAAGAACCTCAAGGAGGCAGGGTATAAGCCACCCAAGGCACAGGTCAAAGAAGAGGTGGATGATCTCGCCGACCTGTGCCAGAAGCACGAAGCCGCCCTGCCTGAGGAGGTCAAAGCCTACCTGAAAGGCCTCAAGGCCAGTCAGGAGGTGACGCCCTCCCAAGCTGCAAGCCAGGCCAGCCAGAGCTGGCAAAGTGCAGCTGGCAAGCTCAAGCGCATCGCTGATCAGAAGATTGACCTGCAGGAGCGCATTGACATGGCGAAGGAGTCATTACGACAGCTTCTGCAAGAAATGATAGTGCTGAATGAGCAGGCCGAGAAGGCACAGAAGGCAGTCGAAGCAAGCTCAGGTCTGCTCAAAGGGAGAGTCTTCTGCGAAACCGCTGCGGACGTGGAGGTCGACAGCATCCTCCAAGAATTGGGGGTAAGCCTCAACGAAGAGCAAGAGAGGAAACTCCATGAAATTAAAGCGGAGCGAGAAGCAAAGAGGCGTCGCACACAGGAGGTCCCCACCCCTCCAGGCCTTGAGGAGCGACCCCAGGAGGGGATGCCTCCCGGAAATGCCAATGCCCCGCCAGGGTTTGGCCCGGTGGCCCAGGGACTCGGCGTGTGGGGCCTGGAGCCCCAAAGCAAGGGCCCCACAGAGCCAATGTGCGACCCCAAGCAAGGGCTGGAACACATGCTGCGAACTGCCCAGCAGTTCCTAATAGCGTGTGCAGAATGTTACAAACAAGGTGCTCACATCAATCTACATGGGAAAAAAGATTGAGGGAGGCCTTGGGGGAGCAACTTACTGCAAACAGCAGTGGCTGTGAACAGGACTGGCAAAAGCCCAGCCACTTTTGTCGGCCCAGAAGGGAGTCGCCAGAAAGCGTTCCGATCACAGGGCCAAAGTTTTTTAAGCTGGACCTCATGGTCGATGAGGCACCTGCAGAAAGTGAACAAGCAAAATCACCTTGGGAGGTGAACCCTGATGGGAACCCTCTGGAAACCCAAGAGGTTTCCCCGAAGCATTGCAAGGATGAAGCCTCGAAGGTGACACCTTCCTCCATCAGCCCAGATGACTTGGGCTCGGAGCTGACATGGCAAGAGGTGGTGAACCTCCTGGAAGACCAAGCAAACCCCTTCCAGGCAAAGGAAGCCACGATATCCTGAGCAGGCAGCTTTTGCGGTTTATGAAGGTTACAAAACCCTTCGCCGGCTTCTGGAAGGTAGCGACCTCCGTCTGTCCCTTAAGAAAACAGGCTTCCTGTGCACCACTGCGGAAGCCAGAAGGGAGCTACAGAAGCTGCGCAAAGATGGGGACCCGGCTATCTGTGATAGCATGAAGGATTTAGGCCTGGACTGTGCCCTGGGTCGGGTCCGAAGGGTCAAGGTGCAAAGAGCCCGAAGGCACAAAGCGGGCAAAAGACAGAAGAAGTTAAAGCAACTGAGAGTCCCGAGTGTGCCGGCCAAGGTCCGCCTCTTCAGAGGAGGGGTTGCCTCCGTCCTTACTTGGGGCCACCAAGCCCAGGGAATGCCACCCACCCGGAGACAGAAGCTCCGGACTGCCCTGGCGGAACAGTGTGGCAGACAGAAAATGGGCAACCTAGAGGTGGCTCTGTCCTCTGTAGGAGACAGGTGCCAGGATCCGGGTCGCACCATGATGGTCCAGCAAGTTGAAGCCTGGCTCCAGCTCAAGAAGAGGTGGGCCGGCAAGGAAGACCTGCTGGAGAGAACCTGAAGCCTCACAGTCCAAAAGCTGGAAGAAGCCGGCAGCAGGTGGCAAATGGTAAGGGGCCCTTTGGCAGCCACAGTTGCATACCTGCTTGACCTGGGTTGGCAGCCTAGAGGCAGTGATGAGTGGCTGGACACCCAAGGCACCAGACACACCATGCACACCCCACAGCAGGAGTGTCGTGTCCTAGACCTCCTCCAGCAAACCTATCAGAAAGAGGTGGACCGCCGCATCGCCACCGGCCTCGCTGCCCCTGAGCTAAAGGAGGGAGTCGACTGGACGGTAGGGAGGAAACTGCTGGGGGGATTTATGAAAGAAGGGCGAACCACGAAAGCAGCTGCCCTGCGGTGTGTTTGGCAGGGTGCCTTGGTGTGCGCCAAAACTCTGCTGTCAAAGTGTGCCCCCGATGCCACCAGGAAGCGGACTGGGAGCATGTGCTCTTGGATTGTGCTTGGTGGGAAGCCCAGAACTGGGAGTTGCCAACATGGTTCCAAGAAGGCAGGGCCCAAGGCCCGAGATCGCTGTGGACCAGGGGCCTCCCGCCCAAACCCGAATGGGAGGTACAACCTCCACAGGAAGACAATCCCATCTTTTTGGGTATATGGGCTGACAAAGAGCCCCCTCAGCGACCCGGAGCTTGTGTATGGCACAGATGCTAGTGGTGGCCCCTACACGGCGGACCCGAGACTCCGGCAGGTGGCATATGCAGTAGTAGCCTGCAAGAAACAGGGCAAGAATACGTCCAGGTAGGAGCAATCGTACCGCTAACAGCCTACACAGGGTGCACCAAAGGCCTTGAGGGACCTTTTGTCAGGGGGTTCCAAACCTCTCATGAGGTACCAGCCTCTGGTAGCATCCCAAAGAGGATGATAAGCTGAGGTTCATCCTCGCTGCCAGAGAACACACCCCTGGCCGATTTCCTCTCACGGTTTGCACCCAGTGCACCAGAAACCCTGAGGAACGTTTTGCCAGGAGGTTCATTCCTCTCATGAGGTACAACCTCTGGTAGCATCCCAAAGAGGATGGTAGCTTAGGAGGTGTTGTTCCTCCCCCTGTACCATAGGGCCAAGAGGGCCATCAGATGTGCCAGTACAGAGGCACGGTTTTCACAACCCAAACACCAAGAGGGTGGATCGAATTTGTTCGCTCAACTCGGAAAAAAAATTCGAACCCCCCCCTCTGGACCTTAGTGGCGGAAGTGGCGCTGAGGCACCTTTGGGTTCAAATTTTGCTTGGGCCGAAAGTGTTGACCCAGGTTCGTGCTTCGGCTGGACGGGCAATCCGGTGCTCTTTGTTTGTTGACAGAGCACACCTAGAAACCCTGAAGACGAAATCAGCCCCTGAAGATGTTTGCTGCTGGTCGCAGGAGTTATACATGGCCCACCTGATGTCCTCGGTGCTTCCCGCAGTGCTTGTTGCTGCTGGGCCTAGCGTTGTGAGGGCTGGACGATCTTGAATTCAACCTTGAGCCCGAACCCTGAACTTCGACGTGTTTGGGTTTCATCATGTTTTCTGACTGTACTAATTTTGCCGACGACGACGTTGGCTCAAGATAGAATGCACGCTGGTCTGCTTCATGGCCAGGGGCCTTGCCCTTGTGCATATAGTTATCAGTTATCAGCCGTATTTCTCCCCACAACTCCTCACATGCAAGGTGATGCTCCCGCAAGCCGTAAGCACAAGACGCAGGAACACATAGGTCGTATGATATACTTAAAAGCCCTTACAAAAATTGCAATAATGAATAGCATTAAGTAAAACATAAGAATATGTGCAATTTTATCTACAGGCCTTGCGGCACGGGCCGGCCTGGCCGTCTGAAAGCTGAAAGTCGGGTTTGGGTTTAGGGGTTAGGGGGTGCAAGGAGTCGGGACGTAAGCAAGAAGAAAGGGCAAAAGGAACAAAAGTAAGAAGAAGAGAAAGAAGAACAAAAAAGAAGAAGAACAAGAAGAAGAAAGTAAATAAGAAGAAAAAGAAGAAGAGAAAGAATAAGAAACAGAAGTAGAAGAAAAGAAAGAATAAGAAGAAGAAGAAGAAGAAGAAGAAAAGAGAAAGAATAATAACAAGAAGAAAGGGTAAAGGAAGAAAAAGAAGAAGAAAAAATAAAGAAGAAGAAGAAGAAGAAGCAGAAGAGGGATAAAAGAAATAAGAAGAAAAGGAAGAAGAAGAAAAGAAAAGAAAGAAGAATAACAAGAAGAAAGGGAAAAGGAAGAAAAATGAGAAGAAGAAGAAGAAGAATAAGAGGAATAATAAGAAGAAGAAGAAAAATAAGAAGAAGACAAGTATAAGTAAGACAAAGAAAAAGAATAAGAAACAGCAGGCAGAAGAGAAGAAAGAACAGGAAGCGACAGCCGAAACCCTATGTATAATCCTTTGCGTGCGTGCGTGCGTGCGGGCGGGCGGGCAGGCGGGCGGGTGCGCGGGCGCGCGTGCGCGCGCTCGCGCGGGCAAAACCACCCACCACCCCCGGCACCCCTCGCAGCACCCCCCCCGCCCCCACGCGAGCATCATGAGCATCAGTGCCTGGGCCTGCCATGTGAACAGGTGGCTAGACTCGTGTTTTGGATGCCTTTGACCCACCCCCACCCTGCAGGGCTTCGGGGAGTCGTCCTTGGAGCAGCGCCAACCCACGCGACGTGGGCGCGGTTGGCGCTGCGTGCACACACGGCAGCCACATAACGAGGAGCGAACATTTTTTCGCGTCACACGCAAAAAACACGGTATTTACCACGTTTTCGGCCCCTCGGAACCCCCCCCCCAAGCGAGCATCATGACCATCAGCGAGGCCCTCATAAGCATCAGCGAGGCTCCGGAGCCGGGACCCGAGGGCCCCGGAGAAATAAAGGGCTCCTGCTGACCCCCCCGAAGCCTCGGGTGTCAATGATGCTCACAGTGGAGGCGCGGCAGTGCCCCGAAAGGAGGTGTGTGTCGAAACACACGAAAAACGCGGTATTTACGGTGTTTTCTGGCTTTATTGAGGCGCCCGGGCCCTCCCATGGTTTGGGGGGCGGGTCGCTGATGCTCATGATGCTCGCCCCTGTTGGGGGGGGGTACCCCCCAAAAACTTGAGGTATAAGGTCTTTTTTCGCATGTTCGCCCAAGGTCAAAAAGCAGGGTCGATGATGCGCGCATCATGAGCCCTCCAGGGCGTTTGGCGGCCCTCCAAAAACGCAAAAGCACAAGGTATTTACGACGTTTTCGGCACTTCCACGCATGCGCGTTTGAGACCCCGCTTGAAGCCCTCCCGAAGCTCCCCCCGGAGCCTCATGCAAGGAGACATGCCATTTTCAGGGCGGGGTCGGCGGCACTGGCGGCGCCCGCATAAAGGCAAGCCTTTAGGCATGCTCCGCGCTGGACCACGACGGCCACGCCGGATTTAACGGCTACCGCCAGTGCCGCGTGGGGGCGGCCCGGGCATGCGCTGGAGGTCTTGGGGTGGGGTCGGGGTGGGGTGTTGCGGGGGTAGGGCTAGGGCGGTAGTGGAGGGTAGGGGATGGGGGGGAGAAGGGGCCGGGAGGGGGGTAGGAGCGCTGTGGGGGAACGCTGTAGATGAAGCACTAAAGGGATGCTGAGAGCGGGGGGGGGGCGGGGGGTTGGGCATGCACTGGAACGCAGTAGATGAAGCCCCGAAGACATGGGGTGCTAGGCTTAGGTGGGGGCAGGGGCTGGGGGGTGAGGGCGGTACGAAGAAGCAGTGGGTTCACTGACGCCACCCGGTCGGCGGATAAGTAAATTAATAAAAGGGCTTTTAGTGAGACGAATTAGAGGAAAAAAAAGCTCAGTAAAAGAAGTGGGCATGAATAAACTGCCTTCGTTGGGCACGCGGCAAAAGCAGAAACGAGTGATAGAAGTAATCAAAGACAGAAAGATATCAAATCTAATACAGGCTCTTTGACAAGATCCCATCAACGACATACGTAAAGGAGTAAATTTAGTGTTGTTATAATCGCTACTTAGAAGGTGGGTAAGTTACAATATAGAAAGCTTGAGAGAAAATAGAAGAAACCAGCTAAACCTTACACCCAGGTTTTCCTGGCGGCCGTCAAGGTGGGGTGCCTGCGCCATTTTCGCCGAAGCGTGGGGCGTACGGTTCAAGCATGCAGCGTTTAGGATTCAACCGGTCAGGCTTCGTTGGGTTTAGGGTTTGACTGCTCAGAGCCAAACTCCAAGCATCAGAAGGCCCTTGGAACGCTTGGCTGGCGTGAAGGAAGCTTGGCGCTGCGGCTTAGGGCTTGTGAGGGTTCTGTTCTGGGTTTAGGGTGCCGGCAGAAAGCAAGCCGAAGCATTTTCAATGACACTCAGAACATGCTGCGCAGACACAAGCGGAACTGCTCCTGCCAGCTGGAACCTTAAACTCTGCAACCGTAAACATGATAAACAAGCCCCTAAGAACTCTCTTGCGTGAGGCGTTCCTAAGCTCCACACCTTAAACCCTGCTGTACGGCTTGAATGCTCTTTAATCTGACAGGGTCCCTGGCTAGCCGTGGTGGTCGGCACGAACGTCTTTCTGCCCAGCTTCACCGCAGCCTTCGGGAAGTATTTGGTATCTTACCGACTCCGACCAAATGAGGCCAGGGGTAATTTGTCGGGATTCTAAGCCTTTCGGTGTTTTCCGGATTGGAGTTTCGGCTGTAGAGCTTCAGGGTTTACAGGTGTTCAGGGCTTCAAAGCTTCGGCCCTTCAGGATGTTTTGATTTAGGCTTTGAAAGGACAGAGGGGAGGTTGGTAATTGAACAGAGACTGCTGCTGACTTTGGATGGTTCACGGCAGGATACTCTGCTGGAATTCCTACCTCCGCTGGGTCTTCAGCAAAACGTCACGGTGGTGGTGATCGTGTCATCCATCATCTTTTGCTTCGTGATCGGCCCTGGAAGCTGGATCTACGCGGCAACTTAGCCGGGTCTAGAGTCTAGATCTTCTTATTGTCAGGGGTCTACGCGCAAGTGTTGTAAGCTCTGAACTCCGCTTCCAACTTCTTCAACTGAGGTGAAGCGAAGAAGAGATCACTGGGAGGACCCACCTCATGTTCGTTACTTGCTCAGCGAGTATAGGAATGGATGCTCCGCTTGGGAGGCCGGAGGCCAGCTAAGGTTTAGGTCTTGGGGTGTAAAGAATATTGAAGAATGATGTAAGCGTAGTGGTACTTTAAGACTTGCCGGGGCTTGCGACTTCGTGCCAAGTTTTGATCCCTAAACCCCAAGCCCGAAACCCCCATGTGGAACCAGTCCAGGCTAGTCAGCAGCCCCAAACCTTTCAAGCCTGATGGACCAGTACATCGTAAGCCGAAACGCCCCATTCCCTTGAGCCCTAAACCCTTCAGGTCGAGCGCTTGGTGCGGAAGATGCTGCTGTCCCTGATCACTGCCATGGTGCCCGTGTCGTACAGCCCGGTGGCTGGGTGGGTCTGTTAAGGCTTTGAGGTCTGAGGGGTGGGGGGGGGGGGGTCCAGGGCCTTCTAGGGGTTCGTGGGTTTAGGGGTTTGCGAAGGCTTTGTTGAGCCTTTGGGGTTTGATAAGTTTTTTTTTTTGGAAGCTCTTCAAGGATGCTTTGATTTTCTTGTGTCTCCTCGTTGCCATGTGCCTTGAGCAAAGCCCTCCCCCCCACCGGTCACCGGAGATGTAATGCGTGTGTTGATCTAACCTCACAACCGCACTGTCAGCAAGGCGGGACACGAGTCTCTGTTTGTGTTCAGGCGCACACTGAAAAGCAGTATGTTTAGCGCATCAAGGAAAATTAACAGCGGGCTGCTTGCATGTTTGTTAGGACAGATTTCGGGCTTGACCCTGGTGGCTCTGGAAATACGATGTGGTTGGAGCTAGTGGTGTGATTTCAAGCATGCGATGTCCTGGCGAAGAGACGAGAAGATGTGCGGCGCTCCTTTCTTCCTACAAGATTTCTCTTGTAGCGGCCCAACTGCTGGCACGGTTTTCATGCCGAACTTCACGTCTGATACGCTGGCCCTGGATCGCAAAAGGGGAAACCTGTAGGACTTGGTTGACATGGATAGGCGAGAAAAGGCTCGGATGTCGGTAGACCAGACACCTCAGCACTGTTCGTTCGAATCTGTGATGGGTATGTTCGTGTCATCCCAAGCTTCCTTTAGACACGTGCGTGCCAGGTAGAACCTGGTAACCCCTCTCGGTATGTCACTGTTACCACGATGGATATTTGTGTTTGTAAAAGAACACGTTGGCAGCTCCCTGCACCAGCAGGGTCTCAAGACCTGAAGTACTCCACGCCAGTGTTCTTACTGTTCTGACGCCCTGCGGTCTGACATTCCAGGCTGATATAGTCTGATCCTCAATGCTGGGCCTTGCTTCTCTGGCTCCAACTCGGTAATGTCGCACCAACGGTCTGGTGCTTCCTCGTAGTCACACAGTGTACGGGGATCACGTCTGCCGTCACGGAGCACCGAGTCTTTCCCACTCCGCTACCACATTGAGATGTCACCAGTGCGTTACTGCCTTTAACAGTGCAGTGAGCAAAATGGATGGGAGTCTCTGATTTATCTCCAAGAACTGGGCATGCATTAGGATTGCGTGTCAGATCTCAGATCTTCACCCCCCAAGAAATCACAGATACACAACTGGTTTCAATATTTCAGCGCCACGCACGTGGGCATATGCTTCAACAAATTGCGCTGCGTGAACCTGGCGGGCTTGGGGTTTGCGCTATAGGAATGTTCTGCTTTCAGCTGCCCAATGAGCATTCCCCAGGAATCTAGACAGACACGCCCTGCCAGGTTTGGGGTAGGGTTAAGGTTGAGAGGACTTGGGCTGTATAGGGTCCCAAGCCCCAAGCCCGGAAAAACCACCTGGTCCACCGCGCGAGGCCACGCAGATGTGCTTGGTGAGCATGGTGCTGCTGTCTTCCACTGCACTCTACTACCGCTTCGCGCCCTACAAGGATGGCGCCGAAACCCCTGAGCTTGTACACCAAACCCAACCCCTGAAACATGTTCAAGCAAGTCTCTAGATTGACAACATCCTTCCCCCCACCTTAAACAGACCCAGCAAGCCCCGAACCCTAAAGCCCCAAACCCCAAATTAAGCGAAGGGCCACGTCCGTGGACCCTGAACGATTGGACCGGAACCCTTCCAATGTTTTGCGTTGGGGGGCCCGGCCCGCGGGGCTCCGGCTCTCCCCTGCGCGCAAACAGCTGCGTTAATGGACACGCCACGCATGTATGACAAAGCAAAAGTCAAAAGACAGATTGTTTCGAAGTCAAAGCCGTTGTCGCACTATCGGAAACCACAGTACAGTATGCGTCAGAAATCGCAGAAAGGTAATGTTACTTCTGAGACTAACTGGAGAATAGTTAGGGTGGCACACATTAGACCCTAAGCCCTCAACTCTAAACCCTCGATTCTTATCCCTAAACTCTAAGCCCTGGAACCCAGCCTCAGGACCTATGCAAGAACGACTCTGAGTTCGCGCTCCTCCTGGTTGCCTTGGCCAGGGGCCCTTGGCCGGGCGTTCGGGAGCTGGGGCTTACCGGAAGGATTTTGAAAGCTTGCAGAGTTAAAGGTTTCAAGAGTTTAGAGCTTTTGCATGCAGTCTTCTGCGGTTTAGGCTTCGGGGTTGGAAGAAGGTTCACGGTGTGAGGGTTGTGGATTTGGCGATTTTCGGGCTCAGGCTTGGAACATTATACCCCTAACCTTCAACTTTCATGGCCTTTGGGCAGTTTGGGGGTATTGCATAAAAGCGCAGGGTTTTAAACCAATTGTGGCTCCCGAACCGCCCAAACCCTAAACCATCCCAACACATAAGCCAATCATAAGCCCTAAAGCAGGTTCAGGGTTTAGGGTTTGGATTCGTGGACACAAACCCTGTAACGGTTTCACACCATTACGTAAGCCCCTCCGACCCAAAAACTCCAAGCCCGAAACCCTCTAAATCTTCTAAACCCAAACCCAGAGGCCATGATTGGGCTCACCTCCCTCCTCCTCACAAGCGACCTGAGCTGGGCATCCAGTGAGACTGTGGAGCTGCGCCTGTTTAGGGTTGAGAAGCTTTGTGTTTTTTGCCGATTTGTTTCCAGAGCTACTACTACTACTACTAGTAGTAGTAGTAGTAGTAGTAGTAGTAGTAGTAGTAGTAGTAGTAGTAGTAGTAGTAGTAGTAGTAGTAGTAGTAGTAGTAGAGTGTAGTAGTAGTAGTAGTAGTAGTAGTAGTAGTAGTAGTAGTAGTAGTAGTAGTAGTAGTAGTAGTAGTAGTAGTAGTAGTAGTAGTAGTAGTAGTAGTAGTAGTAGTAGTAGTAGTAGTAGTAGTAGTAGTAGTAGTAGTAGTAGTAGTAGTAGTAGTAGTAGTAGTAGTAGTAGTAGTAGTAGTAGTAGTAGTAGTAGTAGTAGTAGTAGTAGTAGTAGTAGTAGTAGTAGTAGTAGTAGTAGTAGTAGTAGTAGTAGTAGTACAGTAGTAGTAGTAGTAGTAGTAGTAGTTAGTAGTAGTAGTAGTAGTACTAGTAGTAGTAGCAGTAGTAGTAGTAGTAGTAGTAGTAGTAGTAGTAGTAGTAGTAGTAGTAGTAGACTCCTGGTACCTTGTACTACTAGTAGTGTACCACTACCACTAGTACTACTAGTATTACTAGTACTACTAGTACTACTAGTACTATGAGTACTACTAGTACTACCAGTACTACCAGTACTACTAGTACTACTACTAGTACTACTAGTACTACTCGTACTACTCCTACTACTCGTACTATTCGTACTACTCGTACTGTACTACTAGTACTACTAGTACTACTCGTACTACTAGTACTGCTAGTACTGCTAGTACTACTAGTACTACTCGTACTACTAGTACTACTGTACTACTAGTACTGTTCGTACTACTAGTACTACTAGTACTACTAGTACTACTAGTACTACTAGTACGACTGGTACTACTAGTACTACTAGTACTACTAGTACTACTAGTACTACTAGTACTACTAGTACTACTAGTGCTACTAGTGCTACTAGTGCTACTAGTACTACTATGTGAAGTCGACCAACACTGGTCTTGCCTTAAACCAAAGCAAACACAGGCGGTCACGCGGTTTCTTTTCGCGGGTTCAAGCTCCGTGTGAACCTACGACCTAGTGCGTCCGGTCGGACCGCACAGCAACCTAAGAGCTACTGCGCGAAACTACCGTGCGCAAAGGCACAAGTTGTGAAGTCGACCAGCACTGGACTTGCACTAAGCCAATGCAATCACAGCCCGGTCACGCTGTTTTACGACTTCGTGAGTCCAAGCACTTGTGCAGCTACGCCTGAGTGCGTCCGGTCGGACCGCACAGCAACCTAGGAGCTACTGTACGACTCTACCGTGCTCAAAGGCACAAGCTCGGTACTTGAGCCAAAATATTGGCATTGTTACGAATTGCAAAACTACACATGCAAGGAAAACTACAGTACTGGTTCTGGCAGCTCTGCACATGGAACGTGCGTGCTTAGACCTGCTCACATTCGCCCCTCAGCCGAGGCTTCCAGCTCATCTCGAGCTCGGAGTGCAGCAGGCACTCGCGCTGAACACAGAAAGGGAAGGGCGAGGGTGTCGCGTGCGACCATGGTGGTCCGCACATCATGAGCATTGGCATGCGGCAGGGACGCTAGCCCGCACCACCACAACGAACGCACGACGACAGCAACCCTCAGCAGCCCTTAACCACCCTTTCCCAGGAGGTCCTCACCCTTTTGCTGGTGGGCGAGGCTCTTGAATCCTCGAGCTGGTCTCTAGCTGCCAGTACGCAGACTAGGGTACAAACTATGGTACACTGTACACTTCCGGTCCTAAGCTACGGCTACGGCTACTCACCTATCTGGAACTACCCTACGGGCTACCGGACTCAGCGAGAGCCGCGCACATGGCTTGTGCCGCAGGCAATGCAGCTCACACGCGCTTCGGCGAGCGCATTGCCGCGACCAGGACACGGTCCGCAGCACCTGCAAAAGAGCACCCTCAGCACGAGGGGCCACAGGCAGGGCGGAGGAAAAAGGTGCGGGGAATGCAAAATGGGCAGGTTTCCAACCTGCCGCGGCTTTTCGCCCGCAGTCAAGCAAAAGAAAATGCAAAAGGTTGGCGAAGCAACGTGCCGTGCTGCAACGCCTGCTCTGATAATGCGTGGATGCATACCACGCCGCGCCGACTGGCCGCAGCCTACTCGATACCCTGTGGAGCAGTGTTGGGGGCACGAGTGGCGATGCCAGCAACGTTGGAGCTACTGGCTCGCTCCAACTGAGGGGCGCCTTGCGACCGCCTCATCGAGGGAGAATGCCTCAGCCGACACCCTCTGGAAATCCTCGATGTAGGACTGCGCGACCGGGTGCGTCTTGGCGACCTCAAGCCTAAGCCCTGCCTCCGCATTGGCTTTGCTGCTTGTGGGAAAATTGAGGCTCCCAATCAGCACCACCGCGCCATCAGGCCGCAGTAGGCAAAGGGCCTTGGCATGGTGAAGCCCTTGGATACCGGTACCTACTTTAGCCCCGTGGCCGTCGCGAGCATAGGCGTCGCGCACGGATGTGCCGCAACCCACCTTCAGCTGGGCGCCTGCAGCCGCCAAGCGTTTCAACGCTTGCCACTGCAGTTTGGTGCGGTGGCATTGTCCCATGTCGGCGACAATCCGAACGCCTGCGCCCTTGCTAAGCGACGCTTCGATTGCCTCGACGCAGGATGGGCAATCTAAGCTGTACGCCCGGATGTAGATCACATCCTCTGCTGCTCCAGACCCAAGCAGCGTTTGGGCGGCCTGAACGTATGGCCCGCCCGCAAGGAATTCCGCTTCTTTGACTGGAGAACTCCTAGCGGGGACCGGGCCCTTGTTCCTCCGGCTGGGTGTGCGCGCTA